CGCTGTCCACCTAAAACTATCACAACATTGTTAACCAGCTGTGCATGTTGCTTCAGTAGTGTCTGATTCTTTGCAGCACCATAGACTGTTGCCCACCAGGATCCTCTGTCCATGGGATTCTTCAGGCAAGAATAATGAAGTGGGTTGCCATGCCCTCCTCCAGGGGATCTTCCTAAACCAGGGATTGAACCTGTGTCTCTCAAGTCTCTTGCATTGGCAGGCGAGTTCTTTCACCACTAGCACCACCTGGGAAGACCTTAATCAGCTATACTCCAATACAAAATAAAAAGGTTTAAAAAAGAGAAAACCAGTTTTAAGAGGGAAGTTACTCTTTTTTTCCTCAATTAAGGGCAAGCCTTAAAAGGATGTTTTGAAAAAGAGTTATAATTTAAAAACATGTTGGCTTGTTCAGTGCCTCCAGTTTCTGCTTCAGCACTCCCACCTGTTTTTTCAGAGAGCATTGGACACAGAGCCCAAAGTCGCAGAGCAGGCAAACCGCCAAGTGGGTTGTTCCTCCAGCAATCTCTGGGCAAAGCCATGTGCTCATTGTCCACATCCATTGGGCAGCCACTGTGTGCTGGGTTGTAGGAAAGAAAAATGGGTTTATGTAGTGGCCACCTTTCAGGAGCCTGTAGCCCAGTGTGGAAGGCATTGAGGTGCTCCAAAGATAGAATGAGAGAATTTAAAGAAAGGTTTGATCAGTAAGCTGTGGATGAAGAGGAAGAAGCAACTGTGGTAGACTTTAGGACCAGGGGCAAATTCCTCAGGGCAGGTAGAAAGGGAGTCTTAAAATAAACCACCAATCTCCAAAGGTCAAATGTGGCAGCTGGAAGCATGGTGGTAGAGAAAAAACATTTTAGTCAAGGAATTAACAGAGCATGCTCGAGTCCATCAGGGGTCAGCAGGAAGTTGGTGTAACAGTCTGGGACCAAGAACAAGTCTGCTTTCTTCTTCTTTTTTTTTTTTTAATATTTATTTGGCTGCACGAGGTCTTAGTTGCAGCATGCAGAATCTTTAGTTGCAGCATGTGAACTCTGAGTTGTGGCATGTGGGATCTAGTTCCTAAACCAGGGATCCAACCCAGGCCCCCTGCATTGGAAGTGGGGAAACTTAGCCACTGGACTGCCAGGGGAGTCCCACACAGATCTGCTTTGAGTACTATTTCCTTCTCCCCCTTTGCCACCTTCCCAATAGACCCCCTCACCCCACAGGTGTTGTGTCTTCATCCACGGAATCTTTCAGAAGTGTGGTAATTTAATACTGGGCAGTGTCAATAAGTCATCTTTTATTTATTTATTTTTGTCTCCCTCTTCTTCCCTTTTGGGAGCTCTGTTTTGCTTGAATCTGAGTCATAAGCCAAGCCCTTGTGAAATAAAACATGAGTCAAACAACCAACCCAAAGGACTTCCTTCTCCTGGGTCTCAGAGGGGACAGCCATCTCCCCTACCTCACAAAAAATCTTTAAAAAAATAATAATAATTACTTATTTGGCTGAGCTGGGTCTTAGTTGGTACTCAGGGTCTTAAGTTGTGACATGAGAACTCTTAGTTGCATGTGTGGGATCTTAATTCCCCAACTAAGGACTAAACCCACACCACCTGCATTGGAAGGCGGATTCTTAACCACTGGACTGACAGGCAAGTCCCTCATACTTTTTCTAATAAGAAAGCTATTTCAGGACCCAAGACTCTGGCCTGCCTGTTTGCCACACTTCACATTGTCCAGGCAGAACTTTTGCCCAGAGCCCAGGGTGGGGTGTCCGCTAGGTCATATTTGTGTTTTTCCCCCAGCTCCATAAACACGTCACTCCACTGGGCTGGAGTTTCCCATGTAAAGTCCTCTGTGTTGAACTTCTGAGAAAGCATTTTTGTGTAGCGGTACCTCTCAGGGAATGGCATAGCACTACCCATCTGTCAGTCAAAGAGGTAAAAATCCCATTTAGTAAGTCAAGCCAGTGATTGGCTGCATCAGGCATTGAATGGAAACCAGACAGGAATGATGGTGATAAACTGACATATGGCAGCTTACAGTTCAGCAGACCACTCACTGTCCCTGTATCTCTCTGTCTGTCTAGTAACCTTGAAGCTGCAAGGATTCCCCCATTTTACAGTTGAGGAAATGGAGGCTTTATGGTTAAATGAATGGCAATGTTCACCCAAGGCTCCTAAATGGGAGATCTGAGGCTTAAATTTGGATCTTGTCACACAGCCTGCATGCTCAGCCAAGGCACTCTTAAGCATTCCAGAGGCTGACACTTAACTGGTTGACAAGTGTCTCTGGACTGAGTTGTTCTCTGAACTGGTGGTTCTTGAGCAACATCAGAATCCCTGGAGGGCTTGTTAAAATAGATGGCTGGCCCACCCCTGGAGTTTGAATCAGTCAGTCAGTAGGTCTGCAGTGGGGCTAAGAATCTGAGCTTCTAAAAGGTGGAGTCAAGGATGCCACCATAAAAACTGTTGCTCTGAACCTTCTTGAAGCTCGCTCTAGTTTGATCTTCTAAACCACTCTGAGTATCGAGGCTCTAAACTGGAAGTTTCTACAATGATGGAAATCTTGTAGATCCATGCACCCAACATGGTTGCTGCTGTTTAGTAGCTAAGTTGTGTCTGACTCTCTTTGCGACCTCATGGACTTTAGCCTGCCAGGCTCTTCTGTCTATGGGTTTCTTCAGGCAAGAATACTGGAGTGGGTTGCCATTTGCTCCTCCAGGGGATCTTCCTGACCCAGGGATCAAGCCCCTATATCTTGCCTCTCCTGCAGTAGCTGGCAGATTCTTTACCTCTCGGTAGCCACTAGCTACCAGTGGTGATCAAACTCTTAAAAGTGCCTAGCAATACCAAGGAATTGAGTCTTAACTGTCTTTTAATTTAAATGTCCATAGCCACACATGACTTGCTGCCAGTGTATTGGACAGCCTAGCTCTAAACTAAAGGGCAAGTTAGATATGTCAGTGTGGCTCAGTTGTTTACTCCAGTGTTTAATCTCCAATAAGTCATTGAGGAACTCTTCATTAGGAAACATCTGGTTTGCAGAAGAGTCAGGCTCATCATTTAGACTGCGATGCCTGATGCAGAGGCTGATGGGACTTCGGGATCCCTGTGGGGGCAGGGATCTCACTTCCTTTTCCACCAGGACCAGTGCAGTGCCCACTTGTGGGATGCATAGACCATGTGTGTTACATGAACAGGAGGGGAGACTGGTTACAGACCTGCCTTCCTACCTGCTGTGATGGTGGATGGCTTTGACGCTACCAGCCGATTTGGTGATGAGAGGAGAGATCTGGGTGTGATGCCACAGCAGGATCTGACAGGATTTGTTCAGATATTCTTGGGGATGGGAGTGGTCTGTGATGGTGAAGTTCTCTCATCACAAGAAACTCTCCTCTTTGGTTCTGCAGGTGGCTTCCCATTGGGGATTTCCCCTCTCAGAGGAGGTATTTTGTTTGGGGAAGATAATTTTAAGACTTTATGGAAGTATAAAGGGTTCCTGAGGCAAGTGTTTACTATCCAAACTGTGACTAAAAGCAATGCCCCAGTTGAAACAGGGGCTAAAACAGAAATGGACCCAGTCTTACCTCTCCCTTTCCACCCAAACAAGCAGGGTGTCCGGGAAGGCGGCATGTGCCCCATTATTTGGAGTCAGATGGCAATTCTCTGATCCATTTACTGCTCCTGATTATAAGCAACAATCTCTGCACTGTGAGCCTCAATTTACTCATCTGTAAAATGGGAGGGTGGGACTGCATGAGATCCTTGCTACTCAAAGCATGGCCCACAGCCCAACAGCAGAGGCAGCCTCGCTTGGGAGCTGGTTGGAAATGCAGAATCAGATCCTACCCCAGACCCACGGAATGAGAATCCACATTTTAACAAATTCCCCACATGGTTCAGGTGCACAGCCAAGGGCTGACTGGAAAGGGTCTCCGATCCCATCAGCTCCTACATTCTGTGAGCTTGATGCTAACTGGCAAGTTGCTTGGTGGTGGTGGTAGTTTAGACGCTAAGTCATGTCTGACTCTTTGTGACACCATGGACTGTAGCCCACCAGGCTCCTCTGTCCATGGGATTCTCCAGGCAAGAATGCTGGAGCTGGTTGCCATTTCCTTCCCTAGGGGATCTTCCCAAACCAGGATCAAACCCAGTCTCCTGCATTCAGGCAGATTGTTTACCATCTGAACCACCAGGGAAACCCTCCTGGTTTTTGGTAGTATTATTGTTCCCATTTTAAAAATGAGACAGCTAAGGCCCAGAGAGGTTGAACGACTTATCTAAGGTCACATGGCTGTTGAGAGCTGGAACTCAGAGCAGGTTCTTAGAGTTCATCTCCCAGACTCTTTCTCCCTTGGTAGCAAGCATCCTTCATACCAGCAGCTCCCATCACTTGCGTACTGACCACAGGTCAGGCCCAGAGTTTTACTATCTTCTATAGAGCCTCTCGTTTGATCCTCAAGCGAGGATCAAACTGACCTTGGAGTTTAAGAGGCATTATTTCAGTTTTACGGGTTAAAAAAAGCAAGGCCTGAGTGGTCAAATGGTTTTCCTGATCTTGGGCTGCATGGCTGGCCTGGAGGCCTCTGGGGCCTGTGCTCCAGGTCCCCACAGTGTCTTGCTGGTCTGAGCCGAGCCTAGGTTTGCAGAAAATGAGACTCACCTCGGTGAGATGTGACAGAGAGTGACGGCTATCCCTGTGCTGTCCCATCGCCCAAACCAGCTTCCAGGTCCCCCTGCAGCCCTGCTGCACCTCCCCCCACATACTCTCTTCTGCTCCCCACCCCTCAGCGCTTACACTGAGCCTACCCCACCTCCTTCTCCTCCCTCTCTTCATAGTAATCCCCGAAGAGAGTTTGGCTTCTGCAGGCTGCAGGTTCTGCAGGCAGCAAGGGCCTGCCTCCCCTCGGGGGCGGGGATACTGTGGGGCGTGGACCTGCTAATGCTGCTCCTCTGGGGGTTCAGGGGTCTCTGTGGAGGCTCCAATAACCCCGTGTTCCTCTTCTCCTTCAGGTGATGGCTTCTACTACCCCAGGGCAGCTGGAGGAAGAACAGAGCCCCCGCCCCGGCCGAGTGATGGCAGCGAGGAGAGGCAGAGACAGCCAGGGGCAGGCGACGCCCTGCCCCTCTGCGTTCCTGGAGGCCTGGCAGACACTCGGAGCTACAGCTGGATAGAGTGGGGGTGCTGAGCTTCTGGAAAACGTCAGCTTGTTATTGTGAAGCCTTGTGAAGCAGAGTGTCCTGGAGTTCCAGTCGTCCCTCTTGCACATGACTCTCTACCCAAGGGGTTCACCGTGCCCTGCAAGGAAGGGGCCAGCTCACGACCAGCAGGACCCATCCAGGCTCCAGCCAGCAGCTCCCTGAGGAAGCTTCTAGCATTGTTAGCCAACTGGTGTGCTTCCCAGGCCTTCCGCGGCTGGGCACCGTTTCCAGACCGTATCTTGCCAGCTGGAGAAGCCGAGTCCAGTTCCCGCTGCCAGAGAGCTTTCAGCGGCCAAGTGGGAAAGCTGTCCTCCTCCCCTTGGGAAGAAGTCCCAAGTGAAATTTGAGAACCTTTGGGATGCATATCAACGGGACCTTTCTCCATGTTTCTGTGCTCAGGGCCCTGGAAGCCACTCAGGGGGCACAAAAGCCCGGAGGACCACCCCACCCTTCCCCGGGCAATGTGGGGTCATGAGCTCTTTGAGGCGGGCGGGGGGGTGGTGGGGTGCGGTTCTCTCTGCCTGCAGTGCCTCAGACACAGCAGATCTGTTTCACGTTAGGAGAAAGATTTTGAGCATTACCCTGCCAGGTGGAATTGTTTTTACATCCATCCTGAAACTGATAATTTTTGTCTCTGAAATGACCTAGGCTGTAATCAGAAGGTGTCAGGGCCGCAAGTCCCTGTATCCCATGGGGAGTCGAGGCCCAGAGAAGCACATGTCTGGGTGAGGGTCACCCAGCAGTTAAGGTTGGAGGAGTGCCCACACCCAGATTGCCTCCCATCCCCCGGGCACCACTCTGCTCAGTGCCGGCCACATTCCTCTCCTAGCTCACGGCCCAAAGTTCAGGTTCATGAAGCCCCGGGATGGCCTGGGGCTTCTTAGCAGCAAAGAACAAGTCAGTTTTGGTTTTGCTGAACAGGTGTAGGCTCGAGAGCTGGGCCCTGGCTTTTCCCTGAGGACCACAAGACACTCCTGTCCCGAGCATCCCCTTCTTTCTCTTGCAAAGAGCATGAAAACAGACACTCCTCTTCTCGGGGCCATTGGGAAAAGGGCACCGTTCGATGCCCCACTCCAGCGGCTCTGTTGAGGCGACTAGAATGGGTCCTGTTGTTCTCTCCAGGTCAGGCCAGGGCCAGGCAGGGTGCCCGCCAGGAGGACACCGTGGACATTGATGCTGAGAGCACTGTGCCTCCCTCCCCCAGCCTTCCCAGCGCACCTGTGCAGGAGGGACCAGGCACAAGGCCAGGGCGCTCTGTCTCAGACCCTCCTGCTTACTCCGACTCACTGAACTCACACAAAGCACCTCACCTGGAGCTGGAAGGTCAGGGATGATCAGATTTATCCCTGAGCTGGTTCAGAGGCAGGAGCCTGCGTGCAATGAGAGACATCTGGCCTGTTCCTCTGTGTGGGAGAATATCTGTTTGTTTTCAGGCTCCGGGGAGGATCTAAGGACATGGCCAGGGGAGCCGGAGCAGGCTGCTCTCCCAGCCTCGTTTANAAAATTCTCCAGAAAGCAGGCATAGAAGGAACATGTGCTAAGTCATTTAGTTGTGTCCAACTGTTTGAGACCCCATGGACTGCAGCATGCCAGGCTTCCCTGTCCATCACCAACTCCCGGAGTTTACTCAAACTCATGTCCCTTGAGTCAGTGATGCCATCCAACCATCTTGTCCTCTGTTGTCCCCTTCTCCTCCTGCCTTCAATCTTTCCCAGTATCAGGGTCTTTTCCAATGAGTCAGTTCTTCGCATCAGGTGGCCAAAATATTGGAATTTCAGCTTCAGCATCAGTCCTTCCAATGAATATTTAGAACTGATTAGCTTTAGGATGAACTGGTTGGATCTCCTTGCAGTCCAAGGGACTCTCAACATTAGAAATCAGCTAGTCCACAGCCTCGTTTTTCAGATTAGGAAACTGAAGCCCAGAGAGGTTAATCAAATCAGCTTTGATCACACAGGAAGTTAATGGCATCTATTTTCCAGCACATGTTCAGTGGGAGTGTTTTCTGGTTTTCTCTCTTTTTTAACTTAAGAAGAAAAAATAAAGCTTTATTCTGGAGGGTAGCGAGCTGAAGCACCAAGGATGAAATTCCATCCGTCACTGGGTCTCTGAGCTGCAGGACACAGGCTGGAAGTGGATAACAGGGCTGGCATGCCCCGATCTGCCCAATCCTGAGTCATGGCAGCTGAGGACTTAGCACTGGTTGGCTGGAGGGTGCCCATGCTGGCTTCACCTCTGTATGTGCACGTGCCCTGTGTGTCTCTGTGTGTGTCTGCCCCACACACTGACTCCAGCCTGGCAAGCTTGCAGATCTGACTCCGTGTGCTTCTGTTTCAGGGAGCACTCTGCCAGGATGGGAGCTGCTCACAGGCCGGACGTCTCCTTTAGGGTGATGCTGACCATCGGTTGGTTCATCCTGGCCCACTTTCCTGGTACCGCATCCACGGGTAAGCCACTGCACAGTATCTGGGCCTCTGCCTGTCAACAAAGAAGCTGTAGCCACTTCTGGAAGCAAGGGTCTGGGGACCAGGAGCAGGAGCCTTAGGGCAGGGTCAGGGCCACGGGGTTCTGGCCTGACCCTGCTAACTCAGTGACTCTGGGCAGGTCTTATCCTGTGCTTTGGTTTCATCAGGCAGCCTTGGGGGTTACAAATTTAGTGTCTACAGGTGCTAGGCATGTGATGCAAAGCAGTGAAGCTGGCCAAGTAGGGATGTGGTCACCTGTAGAATGCAGGCCCCTCTTAAGGAACTCACCCTTCTCAGTCCTGGCCAATGGCCCCCACATGGGAAGAGGGGGGCACCTACTGCAGGGTCTATTGAATTTTTAAGAGAAGCCAGAAATACAGACTTTTGTATAAAAGCTCTCTACTTGTTAAAGGATGGCAACCAATTGAAATTTTATCAAACACTCAGGGTGGGGTGGAACAGACAAAAAACACAAAGCTGCCAGCCAGCCTGATGTCTGGGAGCCACCTGACCTTCATGCACCCTTCCTGATTTGCCATAAGATCTGGTGCATTAAGATACAGCGCATAAGATCATGGGCTTCCCTGGTAGCTCAGATAGTAAAGAATCTGCCTGGGATGCAGGAGGCCCAGATTCGATCCCTGGGTCGGTAAGATCCCTTGGAGAAGGGAATGGCAACCCATTCCAGCATTCTTGCCTGGAGAATCCCATGGACAGAGGAGCCTGGTGGGCTACATTCCATGGGGTGGCAGAAGCTGACAAGACTGAAGTGACCTAGCATGCACACACACCTTCCCGCTCCTCCATCCCCTCCACAGTTATTTAAAAATCTACTGTTTCAGGCTCACAACTTAATTCCTAATGAGAGAAAAAAAAGAGGACATTGAGCAAGCATTCTCATCTTGTTTTGTCCGTGGCCTCTTCTGATCGCTTTCCCTTTGGGCTTTCCCCTGCTGTACAGGGAGAGTCTCCCTGTTTCTGAGACAGTCTTCTCTGTTCACCATACATGGTGCCCCACTGGGGTATAGATCCTTCTGAGCAGTAGAAGGAAGGACTCCTCCCAGTGCTTCTATTTGCAGTGTAACACCCACCATGGGCATTTTGAGTTCAGCTAAACATTCAGACTCACGAGGCTACCACAGGCCGTGCTTATGCATGTGTCCTCACTTGCTTCAGTCGACTCTGACTCTTTGTGACTTTATGGACTGTAGCCTGACAGGCTCCTCTGTCCATGGGATTCTCCAAGCAAGAATACTGGACTGAGGGATCTCCTCAGGGGAGATCTTCCTCCAGGGGATCTTCTGAACCCAGGGGTCGAATGCATGTCTCTGGCATTGCAGGCAGATTCTTTACTGCTGAGGCACCAGGGAATCCTGCAGGCCATGATGAGCATCAGGCTAACTTTGAAGGGTTTAGGACAGAAACACCACCTGCCATTGGTGTTTCATCAGGCACTCCTCTTTCATTGGAGTGGTCTTAGTAACATCCCACAAGCCTCCCAGAAGTTATCTTCTTTGGTTTCCCAGGTAACAGCAACTTAGGTGAGAGGAAACAAGGCCATCATTGGACAAGTATGGAATTGCCCCATCAGAGCCAGTATCTCTTATAGCAACTCCACAGATATAACTTTCAGGGTTGCCGTGTGGGATGTGCCCAGTTATCAGAGTCCCTGCACTCAGGGAAGGCCATAGTAAGACATTTCCAGCAGGATCGTTATAAATATAAAGACTGTGTGTGTGCACAGTCACTCAGTCATGTGTGACTCTTTGTAGCCCCCTCAACTGTAGCCTGCAGCCTCTTCTGTCCACAGGATTCTCCAGGCAAGAAGAGTAAAGTGGGTTGTCATTTCCTTCTCCAGGGGATATTCCCAACCCAGAGACTGAACATGCATTTCTTGTATCTCCTGCATTGGTCAGCAGATTCTTTACCACTGTACCTCATAGTTCCTGGTTTAGATGCCATTGACTAATCAGGGGTCACTTTTGTTATAATTAATGTTGCTTGGTAGCACAGTTTATAGAATACCATCTTTCTCAGGTTTCCAGGGAAACAGGGAGAGCAAATTAACTAAAAGTCAAATTCTCATGCAGAAGGGGAAAGGGCTTTGCCAACTTTTCAAACATTCTTTCCATGGGAAAGGATGCCTTGGAATACAAGTAATTTAGGTATATCACTGTTTAACTTTAGATCCTGGAATATCTTGAGGAGTCATCTGGTCTACCCTTCATTTGATAAAGGAAAAAACTGAGCCCAGAAGAAGGAAGTTCACAGAAAATACATGATGAACTAATGAAGGGCATGGGATAAATCCCAGGGCTCCTATGTCAGGGGTTCTCTTTTCTCTCTAAGGCCCTGATTTTAGCTCTGTTAGGGAGGAGGCCAGAGCCATAAAAGTGCATGATAGCTCCTCCCACCCCATGATCTGTGCCATCCTTGCTGGGGAGGTTGGTGGATGGTGGCAGTGACACCTCTCTGTACTTTGCAGGGTCAGCTGAGTGCCCTGATCAGTGGCCTGAGTTGCAACCCTGGAATCCTGGCCATGACCCAGACTACTATGTGTATATAGGCCAGGGCAGAGCACTGTTGCTCACCTCTTCTGCCACGGTCTACTCCATCCGCATCTCAGAGGGAGGTAAGCCAATCTCCTTCCCCCATACTCCTCATCCCATCTCTCTGGTCTGCTGCCTCAGAGCCCAGCAGATAGATGCAGGTTGCCATAACTTTAGATGGACAAAACAAATGTCACATGCTTAGAGCTCAAGTCAGAGCATCTGGTTGTTGGAGATAACCATCAACTCTGAGCACTTAAGGAATGCCTTGTCAGAGTCCAATCTTAATGAAAGAAGCATTTATAGAGGAAACTCCTTATTGGTGCTCTGAGCAGTTCTGCTTATCTGACTTTCAGATGCTTACTCATTGAAGGCAGAGCACACAGTGAAGGCAACAAACCAAGCAGGCAATATTTACCCATCGCAAGACAGAGAGAAAAGTAAACATCATAGGCACAGCAAACAGAAGTACATGAAGGAGGCCTTCTTGCCTGCCTGGAGGAGATGGTGGGCTCAGGAGGTCTGCCCTTCTCTCTGCTAGAATCTCATCACTAACACTTGTGTTCTTCAACCTCACTCCATTCCTACCTCTTCAGGAAAGCTAGTCATTAAAGACCAAGATGAGGCCATTGTTTTGCGTACCCGGCACATCCTGATTGACAGCGGAGGAGAGCTGCATGCTGGGAGTGCCCTCTGCCCTTTCCAGGGCAATTTCAGCATCGTTTTGTATGGAAGGTGGGTAGACGGTCCCCATGCTATCATGGGTACCATGCCACCCTTGGATCTGATGCGGGGGAGAATGTCCATAGGAAAGAGGAAGGTGAGACAGCAAGAGCCCTTTCCAGGGCAATTTCAGCATCGTTTTGTATGGAAGGTGGGTAGACGGTCCCCATGCTATCATGGGTACCATGCCACCCTTGGATCTGATGTGGGGGAGAATGTCCATAGAAAAGAGGAAGGTGAGACAGCAAGCCTTTAGTGCAAGAAAGGAATTATCACTACATCCTGCCAGATCACAATCACGAGCAAGACAGACACTGGCAATTTGGGTGAGTTGGAGAGGTACACGAGGTATTTTGTTTACTGTGGCTCAGGTCTGGACTTAAGTTACAGAAACCCCTGCCCCCCTTTCAGTTGCTTTCTAATCTTGTCATGGCTCAGGGAGTCTCTTTGAATGTTTATTAATAGGCTCTGATGGACAAGATAAAGAAAAATTCCAGGCAGTATTTGCCTCTGGCTATGCTCCATCACTAAGCAATTGAGAGTTCTCAGAAGCAGTAGCCAAGAATACTCAGGGTATGCAATAGTTGTCCAGGTGATTCCACATCTGATATGGACCAAAATATAATGCACTTAGACCTGGAAAGAAGTGCCAACATGTTGACTATTGATGAGTATTTCTGCTTGGCCTGTTGGACTCATTTTGTTCTGGCTTGGGACTATCTTGGTTGCTCATGCTATGTCTACTGATCTTGGGCGGTCACCAGGTGTGATTGGTTCTACAGTGGCCACAGTGGGAGTCAGCAGCAGTGCCATCCCCTCTGGGCTCAGCAGCCACTAAACAGAGATGTTGGCCGACCACAGAGAGCCGTTTTCTCTCATAGGGCTGATGATGGCATTCAGCTGGATCCCTACTTTGGCCTCAAGTACATTGGTGTCGACAGAGGAGGTACCCTTGAGTTGCATGGACAGAAGAAGCTCTCCTGGACATTTCTGAACAAGACTCTTCACCCGGGTGGCCTGGAAGAGGGAGGCTATTTTTTTGAAAGGAGCTGGGGTCACCGTGGAGTCATTGTCCATGTCATTGACCCCAAATCAGGAACAGTCATCCATTCTGACAGGTAAGGTTTACCTTCACATCAACACATTCATTCATTCATTCATTCATTCAACACACACTTACTGGAAGTGTGTCCTAGCCAGAGGCCACTCAGGGTGCTGAGCCGTGAGCAAAACAGAAATCCTTGATCTCAAGGAGTTAGGTCTCTCCTTCCCGAGGCATCTGCCTCATGAAGCTGAATTGAACAGGCACAGGCACATTCACACATACATATGCACATGTTCACACAGCATAGTTTCAGGCTGGGATCATCGGTAATTAGGGGGAAGACATAGGTGGTGCAGAGTAACTCAGGAAGGTCATCTTACATCACGTGGTCAGGGAGCCTAGTGTAAACAAGAAACATTTGAGCCGAGGACTTTGGGGTGAGGCTGAGTCAGGGAATGATTGTTCAAGACTGAGAGCAGCAAGTGCAAGGACCAGGGCTGAGAAAGTGCGTGATGTTCATAGGACGGAAGGGCCAGCAGAGAGGTGGGAGGGCAGAGAGTGATGGAAATGACCTGCAATGATGGAGTTTCAGGCAGAGGCAGGTGTGCGGCCTGGGAGGCCCAGTGAGGAGGTGGGTTTTATTCTTAGCAGAATACAAAGCCACCAAAGTGCTTTAAGAAAAAAATGATCTGATTTAGCCATAACTATGGAGGAGGAAATGGCAACCCACTCCAGTATTCTTGCCTAGAGAATCCCATGGACAGAGGAGCCTGGCAGGCTACAGTCCATGGGGTTATAAGAGTCGGACACAATTTAGCGACTAAACCACCACATTTACATTATCCCCTCTCTTGAGCCTCCCTCCCCCCTCCCCCATCCCAGCCCTCTGGGTCATCACAGAGCACCACACTGACCCCCTGTGTCTACAGCAGCTTCCACTAGCTCTCTGGTTTACATATGGGAGTAAGTGCATGTCAGTGCTACTCTCTCAGATCGTCCCACCCTCGCCTTCCCCTGCTGTGTCCACAAGACCATTCTCTACATCTGCATCTCTATTCCTGCCCTGCAAATAAGCTCATCAGTATCATTTTTCTAGATTCCTTATATATACATTAACATATACTTATGGCTGATTTGCATTTTTGTATAGCAGAAATGAACACAACTTTGTAAAGCAATTATCTACCAATTAAAAATTTATAAAATTAAATAAAAAAGAAGTAAAAAATCAAGAAGAATACCATCTAATTTGAAAGAATTGGCTGCTCTGTAGAGAGTGGATTGTTTGCGGAGAGCTAAAGTAAAGCTCAGGATTTCCCTGGTGGTTCAGTGGTAAAGAATCTGCCTGCCAATGCAGGTGACACGTGTTTGATCCCTAGTCTGGGAAGATTCCACATGCCACAGAGCAACTAAGCCCACACACCACAACTATTGAGACTTGCTGGAGAGCCCGGGAGCTGCAACAGCTGAGCCCATGTGCTGCAACTACTGAAGCCTGAGTTCCCTAGAGCCTGTGCTCAACAACAAGAGATGCCCCTGCAATGAAAAGCCGTGCACTGCAATGAAGAGTAGTCCTCTGCTCCCTGCAACTAGCTAAAAGCCCACTCAGTAACATAGACCCAGCACAGCCAAAAATAAATGCATACAATTATTTTTTTAAAAAGTAAAGCTAGCACAGGTGGTTCAGAGGCTTCCACATGTTCTGGGCAAAAGAGGTCGCTGGCGGTAGAGGTAGAAGCAGCGGCGATAGAAGTGGATGGACTGGAGAGATATTCAGGAGGCAGACACAACAAGTCTCTTCTCCCTGTCCTCTCTCCAGGCTTGGGTGTGAGCTGATAGACTCTTCAGAGACTGGACCTGACCAGTAAGCTCCCAGGGCTTCTTGTCCAGGCCCCGCAGAGGCCAGTCCAGGTCATTTGGATAGAAAGAGACATGAGGAAGGGCACAGCTGGAGTGGCAAGCAGACACAGCTGTCCGGGTGCTGCTGGAGGATGGGGATATTGAATTCCTCAAAAACAGGGCAGGAGCCATGAGCATCCACAGGAAGGCAGCAAGAACTGGCTGTGATATGGTGTAGGCTGGCCAGTTCACCTTGCCCTCCAGTGAATATCAGTAACAATAATACAATCACTGGACTTTGTGCAAAATCCTGTGTTAACCACTTTCTCCACTATATATAATTGAATCTTCATAAATGCCCTGGGAGGTGATTCTGTTGTTATACAGATGAGAGCACTGAGGTTGAGTGAAGCTAAATTTGCTCAGAGACTTCCCTGGTGGCTCAGATGGTAAAAAATAAAAAAAACAATCTGCCTGCAATGCAGGAAATGTGGATTTGACCCCTAGGTTGGGAAGAGCCTCTGGAGGAGGAAATGGCTACCTACTCCAGTATTTTTGCCTGGAGAATCCCTTGGATAGAGGAGCTCAGCATCACAAGGCTTAGGAGTGTTGGAGCTGGGATTTAACCCAAATCTGCCCAGACCCTGAGTCACTAAATTGCCCCCATGGGTCCCCTAGTGATAGCCACCTGCTTGGCCTGGGGTGGAGCAATCCTCAGCCCAGGGGTAATGCAACCAGGATGCACTTGATTGACACAAAGGCTATCAGAGAGCTCCTCCCTTCAGAGGAGAGAGAATGGTCTACTCAGTTGTGCTCTGACTCCTGGATGCTGTTCCTTCCTTTAAAATTTTATTATATTATATTCAACTTATTCTTTTTTTTCAATTTATTCTTATTTTAGTTTTTACTACTAACGTTTACAGTCACTTTACAGTCTTGTATTAGTTTCTGCTGTGACGAAAAGTGAATCAGCTACCCGTATACATGTACCCCGCATTTTTGGATTTCCTTCCCGTTTAGGTCACCACAGAGCACCGAGTAGAGTCCCCTGTGCTGTATAGTAGGTTCTCCTTAGGTATCTAGTCTGTACATTGTAGTGTATACGTGTCAATCCCAATCTCCCAGTTCATCCCACTCCTTTTCCCCCCTTGGTGTCCATATATTAGTTCTCTACATCTGTGTCTCTATTTCCGTTTTGCAAATAGGTTTATCTGTACCATTTTCCTAGATTCCACATTTCAGTGATCTAATATGATATTTGTTTCTCTCTCTCTGACTTACTTCCTCTGAATGACAGTCTCTAGGTCCATCCACGTCTCTGCAACTGGTGTTGTTTTGTTCCTTTTTATGGCTGAGTAATATTCCATTGTGTATATATACCACATCTTCTTTATCCAATCCTTTGTAGATAGATATTTAGGCTGCTTCCATGTCCTGACTATTGTAAGCAGTGCTGGAAAGAACATTGGGGTGCATGCATTCTTTTGAACTCTGGTTTTCTCTGGATATAGCTCTGCTTCTTAAGTAGTACAATATGGATTACTTGTGGCAGCCAATCAAATTGAATTCATCATTGAAATGGATAATGAGATGTTATACTGATAGCTGGTGTGGAGATTCCAAAGTCAGGATGCCTGCTCCTTCCTTGTCTCCTTTGGGTAAAGTATGAATCAGTGGGCTCAAGAATCTGACAGCTGAAGGTGTCTGAATAAAAATACTAATAAACACTAAACACACGCAGAAATGCAGGCTATGGTAACTTGAGACCTGGTCACCTGGAGGTTACTTGCATAAGGTTACTCAGAGAAATAAGAATCTCGATCAGCTCTGGGGAGGTAGTAAGCATTTGATTGGCTGGAGAGAAGGTTAGAACAATAGAGTGAAGGCAAGAGTGGGCTTGTGGTATGGTCATGAGACCCTGAGATATGCTAGGATTATAGTGAACGTTTCATGGGAAAGGTCAGTGGAGAAGGAAGGGGCCTAGGTGGGGTCAGACCAGGTTATGGAAACAATTAAAAGTAAGTTTGAGGACCCCTGAGAATCCACACATTCCCCCTGCCCACATCCCCTTTTTTTTCCTTTTCTCAAATCTTGGCTATTCATGGTGGTTTATTTTTGTAAATTCCTTGTAGAATTATTTTGCTTGTTAAGTTCCAAGACAAGTTTTTTTGGAATTTCCATTGTCATTGTACAAAATCTTTATACTTAATAAGTTTGCTTTATATTTAGAGTTGGGATCATGACAAAATTTTATCTTTCCTTTGCAAATTCTTGTCACCTGTGGTGTGGGTTATTTGAGATCTCCATTTCATAGCTGCTTTATATGTATGAGGATGGATTACATATCCATCTCCATATCCATCCATATCCATCTTTGACAAGTCTCAGATGATTTTTTTTTTTTTTTTGCTGTAATAAAAGCTCTTTTCTTGAAAAATCATGACTCTTGAGATTTTGGATGGTATGTTAGCTGTCTTACCACAGGTAGGTGCTTAGAGCTCTCTTTTTGCACTACTGTTAGGACTATTAATATCTCCTCTCCCTGCCCCATTTCAGATTTGACACCTACAGATCCAAGAAAGAGAGTGAGCGTCTGGCCCAGTATTTAAATGCCGTGCCCAATGGCAGGATCCTTTCTGTTGCTGTGAATGATGAAGGCTCTCGAAATTTGGATGATGTGGCCAGGAAGGCGATGACCAAACTGGGCAGCAAACACTTTCTACACCTTGGATTCAGGTATCGGTCATCACTTCCATCACTTTCCCAGGCTCCAGAACACTAAAGCAACACTAGCCCAGACAGACTTTACCTAACTTGCTTCCTGGTTTCCCCAGGGCCACGTGACCCTCAAGGGTGACCCTGGAGGATGCAGGCACACACATCCATCTGCATTGGATGTATTACGACTTGTTTTTAAAGGGAACCTAGTTTTTCTTACAAGCATATTCCACTCTTCAAACTTCAAAGCTGTCTATATAAACTCATTCATTCAATCAGTCACTTACTAAATATTAATTGAGTATCTACCGCGGATAAGAACTGTGTGCCTCAGATGTACAATGAATGGTCATTTTCCTTTCCTTTGGTGAAGGGATCATAATGTGCCTTGGAGGGTTGGCAGACATCTGATAGAGACCACATGAAGTGCCTCTGCCCTGCCAAGACCCTCCCAGCAGAAGGGGCACTTTGATGTGCCCCAGGGAGAGTTTTGTTTGCCTGGGTTTGCAGCGTCATGCCTGACTCTGGGGTGCGCACGCTTTGGCATCAAGATAAATGCATTATGGTTTATCCAACAGTAGCCACACCTTTGAATCATGTTGAATCAGATCTCGGTTTAGTGGAAAGTTGAGATCATCTTTCCCGTGGCTGTTGGAGATAGAAACGCCCCGCCCTTCGACTCTGCAGATGATGGGCAGGATGGGGGCAGGCCAGAGGCTCTTCTGGGCTCTGAGCAAAGCAATTTTACTGACTGGGTGGAGTCCCCCTGGGCAGGAGCAGGGCTCTGGGTTCCAGGGTGTGTTTTCCACCTGCCCACCGGCAACTCCCTCTGGAAGGATTTGGGCAGGAAACTTGAGCAGCCAAAGATGACAATGACATTGTAGTATTGCAAGGCTCCTTTGTTGATAAAAACTGAGGGCATTGCTATTTCATTGTCACATAAGCCAAAAGGCCAGTTTGTTAATTTACACCGAGAGGTAGAACCACAAGGAGATTGGCTACATATGGCCTCAGCAGAAGGTCCAAGATCTGGCATCCAATTTGTCCTGAATCTTGAGTCTGGGCTGGACCTCCTCCTAGGTGATGGCATGCAGGTGACTCACCATCTCTTTGAACTGTCCCCGTGATGTGTAAAATGGGTTATTTCAGGAGTCAGCTCAGAGGACTCTGGGGAGGGTAAAGGTGATGATATGAGCAAAGTATTTGCCACTGTGGGTAGCACAGAGTAAAACTCAATGAACATTAGCAACTCTTTTCAAGAGCCGTGGAAAGGATTATTGTTGTTCAGTTGCTCAGTTGTATCCGACTCTTTGTGACGCTGTGGACTGCAGCACGCCAGGCTCCTCTATCCATGGGATTGTTTAGGCAAGAATACTGGAGTGGGTTGCCATTTCCTCCTCTAGGGTATCTTCCTTATCTAGTGATTGAAACTGCATCTCCAATATCTCCTTCCTTGCAGGAAGATTCTTTATCTGCTGAGCCACCAGGGAAGCCCCAATGTATGATATAGGCAGTATCAATTCAGTGAGGGAGAATGTGGTTTTTTCAGTAAACATATTTGGGTATTATTACTTTTTAAAAAAGAGATCAGTGTCAGAGACAGGGAAACAAGCCTTGGGGATGCTAAATGTGCCTCCAGCTCTTAATCTATCTGTTGATTTGAATTGGTGGTGTAAGAATAATAGGAAAAGTGGAGGAGAGGCGTGTGGGTCCTCTCTAGATGTCCATGTGATCTAAAGCTGATATTTTCCCTTTTCTGTTGCTTATCTCCCTTCCCTGTCTTCCACTATCTCCTGGAGTTTGCTCAAACTCATGCTCATTGAGTTGGTGATGCCATCCAACCATCTCATCCTCTGTTGCCCCCTTCTCCTCCTGCCCTCAATCTTTCCCAGCATTGGGGTCTCTTCCAATGAGTCAGCTCTTCGCATTAGGAGGCTGAAGTATTGGAGTTTCAGCATCAGTCCTCCCAGTGAATTTTCAGGGATGATTTCCTTTAGGATTGACTGGTTTGATCTTGCTGTCCAAGGGACTCTCGAAAGTCTTCTCCAATACCATAGTTTGAAAGCATTAATTCTTCAGTGCTCAGAATGGGTGCTCTTAATATGTTCTGTGAGTGAAGGAGATACACAGGCAGGAGTTACATTGTTACCCTTCATTTGTATATAGACCCACTTTGACTGACAAACTCAGAGCACTTAAAATGGGCTGAAGATCTGAGACTTGGGCCCATCATGAGTTCGTTCATCCAGGAAGTGATTATTGAGCAGAAATTGAAATAAAGCACCAGGAAGGGACTAGTCATACTGAGTTCTTGCGGGAAGTCATGAGGTCTGGCGGGAAGTCTTGAGCCCTCAAGGAAAGGCAGACATAAAAGAATTGATGATGGCATGTGAAAGAACAAGAAGGGGAAGGAAGCGAGATGAAGTTTGCAAGGTGGGCACAGGATAGCCTTTTGCTCAGTGCAGAGAAGCTTGCCCTTCATCCAAGTCAGTAGGCATTGAAAGATTTTTAAGCAAGTGTGACACAGTCTAATCTCTAACCTCAATGAACCCCAACCTTTGTTCTGAAGATGAGATCAAAACAAAAATAATCAAACAAATATGAGCTATTGATAGCTCATATTAAGAGAGAGGGTGGCTTAGGTATTAGAGGTTGGATAAAGATGAATAAGAAAACCTCCCTGCCTTAGAGCAGTGCATATTTCAATGGAGAGAAGAAGTGTACGACTTTCCAAAATCAGACCCCTTCTTTTTCCTCCTTCACTCCTCATGGAAAAAACGCATCTCTTTCCTTCCCAAGGCCCAGTGCCGATTTCTGGGGACTCAGACACATCTGCCCAGTTTCCTCGAGCTTAACTTGGGAGAGAAATAACCTTTCTCCCTTGGAGCATGTCTCCTTGTTTTCCTGAAGGACTCAGAGCACTTGCTTCAGGACCTCACTGAGCCTGGCTAGTGGCATGTGGGTCTATGGGCTTGTTTGTTTATGATTCATGCCCCATCTACTGCCAGAATGGAGTTGCAGAGGCTCAGGATCCACAAACATCAGGCTGGTCAGATGGTTAGGAAAGCCAGGGCTTGCTGAGAAAGGCTCTTGTTCTTTTGGAGAAGGGAAGCCCAGCCCAGGAACTCATTTCCCCAAACAGCCTCACTGTGATACTCTGTGTTAACTCTGCCTCCGGTACAGGCTCAGACAGGTGAAAACTTTACTTTTTGTTGTTGTCTTTTTTTCAGACACCCTTGGAGTTTCCTAACTGTGAAAGGAAATCCCTCTTCTTCCGTCGAAGACCACATCGAGTATCATGGTAATAAATGGTGAAAGGCCATTCCCCGCTGGGTTTTTCTGACCAATAGGCTCAGGGGCTTTTTGAACCACTCTCCTCCCACATGGTGCAGTGGTAGAGAATCTGCCTGCCAATGCAGGAGATATAAGAGACTCAGGTTTGATCCCTGGGCTGGGAAGATCCCCTGGAGGAAGGTATGCCAACCCACTCCAGAATTCTTACCTGGAGAACCCCATAGACAGAGGAGGCTGGCAACCTACAGTCCACAGGATCACGAAGAGCTGGACTTGACCAAACACATACCCTTCTCCTTCCCCAGAACATGGCTGATCCATCTCCCAACACACTGCTGAGTGACTAGCTGCTTAATGGCCAGGTTATGTGAGTGGCAAAAGTTCATACTGGTTTAAGGTCGATCACTAAGATAATGTTTACATTTGCAAAGAGAGTGTCATTGGTTTAATCCCAAACAAGTGACACAGGAAAGATGAGAACTGGGTCAGAAGCAGCAAGAGTAATATTTTGATTTAAAAAGATGCTTTGAGGACTTGCCCCGGCAGTCTAGTGGTTAGTGCTCTGTGCTTTCACTGCAGGGGACATAGGTTCCATCCCTTGTTAGGAAACTAAGATCCCACATGCTATGCCTTGTGGCCAAAAAAGAAAAAAAAGTAAGATGAAGAAGTGGTTCAAGATCCACGTGTGCAGGGGGCTTTCTCTGCCTTAGCATCATATCTTTCTTAATTTGGGGGTCTGTGTGGTCGCTGATGCCTCCCATCTCCTCTTTGATAGGACACCATGGCTCTGCTGCTGCCCGGGTGTTCAAACTCTTCCGGACAGAGCATGGTGAGCTTTTCAACGTCTCCTCATCCAGCGAGTGGGTTCAAGGTGAGGAGCTTGGGACCCCTTAGTAAAATTCCAGAGTGAGTTAAAAAGTCGGGACTTTGCAGAAGGAGAATTTTTCTTTCCACCAGTAAGACCACTTGACGGCTTCAGTGTCAACTCAGTTGGCAGCTGAGAGCTGTCTTTAATCCGGGCTCAGTGGGGAATAACCCAGAGGGATGTGCCCTCTCAGGGAATGCCTCTTCTGTGCCAGGCAATGGCACTGACAGGGAATGCAGACAGTAGTAGGACTCAGCCTTCAAGGAGCTGACACACAGGGACATGGAGGGTGGTGTGGAGAGCAACAATCTTCACAAGCACCCTTGGATAATGGGTTCATGGCTGGATCTCATATTTCTCCTTTTGGCAATAATGAAGAATATCTGTTGCTTTTATAAAATAAGATAGTCAGTAAGAGGCACTTGTAATGAAAATTTGGGGGAGTTGGGGAGGTTGGCAGATGGATTACAAGCCTCTGGGAGCCAGCCTGGTGAGAGCCTGGACATATGGTATTTGATTCTCACTGCGCTGAGGGTACTCAGAGGCTGCATCCAGCATGGCCAGTCTCAGCGCCCTGCTTGCCTAACCCTGATCTTTGCTTTCTGCCCAGATGTGGAGTGGACAGAGTGGTTTGAACATGACCAAGTGCCTTACACAAAAGGTGGAGAGAAAATTTCAGACCTTGGGGTCACTCAACCAGGGAAAATCTGCAATCGTCCCATTGATATACAGGTAACCAAGAAGTTATCAAGGCTTTGTCTTGAAAAAGATGCTGTAGATCACAAACTCTCTTACTATCTGAGTGGTGTGAGTCTCATGGCCCTCCTGTGATGTCAGTAATGCCAGAGAGTAGCATTCTCATTTTAAAAACTGACCTGGAAGCTGATTGTATGCTCCAGGAAGGATTCAGATTCTCTTCTGGGTCTTGCTGAAGAGTTCCTTTTCTGTCTCCTCAACCTGATCTTCAGCCATGGGTGAGGGTGCCCAGTGCGGGGAGTGTTTGACCTTCTCGGCTTCACACACCCATTCATTTCTTTGGGGGCTTCAAGTTCACAGGGTGTAGCTGAAATTCAGGTGCAGGCTGAGACCAGCCTAGGTGGAGGACACCCACAGCCTTGTTCTCTACTTAGTGAAAGTCGGCCTTCACAGAATGGACAGTATTTGCTTGGGATCTTCACTTGGAGTTAACTTTGTTCAAAGGGGACCTGGGCTTCCCAGATGGTGCTAGTAGTAAAGAACCCACCTGCCAAGGCAGGAGATACAAAAGATGTGGCTTCAATTCCTGAGTCAGGAAGATCGCCTAGATTAGGAAATGGCAACCCACTGCAGTATTCTTGCCTGAAGAGTCTCATGAACAGAGGACCCTGGCAGGCTACAGTTCAGGAGGTCACAAAGAGTCAGACACAACTGAGTGACCGAGCAAAGAGGACCTAGGCTTTCTCAGCTGGCTCCATCATGAAAGTGTGGCACAAATGGGCAGCTCTCACAACTCAGGGCTCAGCTAGTGAGCTTGAGAGCTCAAAGGAGAATAGCAAAGACAGAGACATAGGCAAGGAAATGGAGTTTATTTCCTTATGCCTGGTCTTCTTCCAAAACAAGATTTGGGGCCACTTAAATGTCTGATAGAGAATTTGGCTTCCCAGATGGCTCAGTGGTAAAGAATTGTCCTGCCAATGCAGGAAATGCAAGAGATAAGTGTTAGATCCCTGGGCTGGGAAGAACCCTTGGAGGAAGGCATGGTGACCCACTCCAGTATTCTTGCCTGGAGAATCCCACGGACAGAGGAGCCTGACAGGCCACAGTCCACAGGGTTGCAAAGTGTCCAACATGACTGAGCACACACACACACACACACGCACACACACACACAAGAATTTGGAGTCATTTCAGGAAGACCGTCTCTGCCCATTTTATCTTCTTTCAGCCAATAAAAATAGCAACATTTGTACACCACCTTTTCTCAGATTATCTAACCTCAGGTTCCAGATCATCTGACTGTTTTCACTCCTCCATATCCCTCCACCCCCAAGGCATGACTTCTGCCTTCTGCATTGCAATATAGAGGGACCGCAGGACAAGGGACCACTTTTCCAAGAGAGGACTGTCGGTTCTGCGGTCAGCAAAGGCCAGGGAAACCTTTCTTATTGTTGGGCCAAGGCTGTCCATTCACGTGGCTCCACTGTGGTTGAGAAGGATTTACCCAGATTCCATTACATGTTATAGACTCTTCTCGGGTCCAAGAGAATCAAAAAGCGCTGACTCCCTCAAAGCACATACTTCTCAGATTTAACTTTAATTTTTTGCTTGCAACCCTGCATGTTCCAGCTCTAATTCTGAGAGAGCCCAAATTGGATTCCTCCAAATCACTTGGCTATAGGAAGTCCAATCCTACACCAGGGCTGCTCCCTCCCCAAGCATTTCTGGAAATCCTCGAGGAATGTGTCCATGTTCTGCAAATCCCTCCAGTGTTTGCTCTGCCAGCTGTCTGGCTCCAGACCACTGTTGTTGAGAAGACCACTTCTCCATGCCAGGAAAATAGCTTTCCTTAGGCATTTCTTACTCTCAGGAACTTTGTTCCCAGCTGATATGGATTCTTCCCAGAGAGTGTCAAAGCACCACTAATCCCAGGCTCAAACAGTCTGTAAAACTTTACCAAAGGCTTGGAGAGAACAGAGGAAACCAGTGTAAATATATGTATTTTCCCATATGTCATACATATAATAGCATATGACTGCTCGCGTCCCAGGTGGCTCAGTGGTAAAGAATCTGCCTGCACTGCAGAAGACTCAGGTTCTATCCCTGGATTAGGAAGATCTCCTGGAGAAGGAAATGGCAACCCACTCCAGTATTCTTGCCTGGAAAATCCCATGGACAGAGGAGCCTGGTGGGCCACAGTCCGAGGGGTTGAAAAGAGTCGAACATGACTTAGTGACTAAACAACAACGACAACATGACTGCTCATCAACTCAACAATCCCAGACCTTCTATGGGGAGCCAGCCCCATACTCTGTAACCACTAGTCTGTCACCACACTGCAGGGCCCATTTACTTTGCTGAACAACAGAAACTGATGCAACATAGTAAAGTAACTATACTCCAATACAAATTAAAAAAGAAAAGAAACAGGAAGTGCTCTATCCTGAAAATGTCAGGCTCACCCCCTTTCTCGCCATCAACCTTTTGTCAGTAGTGGCCCCAGCCTTAGCCAGAGAATTTCTTTATAGTCATCAGAGGCAATGAGATAGAAGCTACTCTGGATTTTTCTGAAGTCAAAAAAGCAAAACCAGGATTCTGCTATGTTTACCAGAGGTGAGAGAAGCAAGATTTCATTCTCTTTATCAATAGAGTGTGAGACATATCTGCCAGGAGCTAAATGCCTGTTAATTAACCCACCAGAGAGACTGAGACAAAACTGAAATGCCCAGGTGCCTATTTTTGCCACCATGGGAAATCACAGGTTACTGGGGTCACTTGTCACCTCTGATCACCCTGGGGACCCCACACAAGGGGTCCCTGAGATACCTGCCATCAAATCCTTTGGAGGGGAGCAGATGTTAGGACATTTGTCACCTGGGTAGGATGGTGAGTTGGAAGGAGAAAGGAAATAGTTAAGACTAGCACAGATGACCTCAACTCAAGGAAAGTTTTTCAACATCTGATCATTTGTGATTCTGCAAAATCAAACCCAAAAACCATAGTCCTTAGTTCCCATGTCTTCACCCTTCTGATGGTTCTCCTGGGCTGAAATCTCCTTGCTTCCCATCTTCTCTCTTAAAATTCACCCACCTTTCAAGGCCTGTTCAACTTAATGGACTCAATTATCCTTTGGGACCTGTGAGGTGCCCAAAACACCAAATTTAAGGTGGCACTGCCTCCCAGGTGCCAACTCTGCACTCACGTGATCCTGGAGAGTGAGTGCTGCCTTAAATGTTGCACCCTGGGTTCCTCACTAGCAAACTTGGCCATATCTATCAGTCAAGCTATTTAATTTAGTGTCTCAGTTTCCTCCTAAGCAAAAATGGAGGTAATAATTGTTCCTTAATGGGATTATTTTGTGGATTTAATGCAGCAATACGTGAAGCTTCTGACCTACAGCGAGTGCCCATAATTTTCTTTTATTATTTTAAAATTATTTGCTTATATTATTATTTATTATGATATTGCTTGTTTAGTTGTTAACTTGTGTCTGACTCTTTTGTGACCCCAAGGACTGCAGCCTGCCAGACTCCCCTGTCCATGGGATTTCCCAGGCAAGAATACTGGAGTGGGTTACCATTTCCTTCTCTAGGGGATCTTCCCGGACCAGGGATCAAACCTGCATCGCCTGCATTGGCAGGCAGATTCTTTACCACTGAGCCACCAGGGAAGCCTATGACATTACTAGTTATTTTATAATTATTATCTAGAATAACAATCACATTGTGTCTACTTAAAGTGAAGACCAAGTTCACTGAACAGTGGGAAAGCCCTTTTTACTCTTCTTATCCAAAACTGAGGTCATTCTTATGACTTAAAAGGGAGAAAAAGAAAGACAATAAAATTGAATAGAGGTTTTCTTGAAATTTTTATTGGATGTTGTACCTTAAAAAATGTCCAACTCCCCTGGATGATGTTTTTAGGCTCAGTTCTCAATATTCAGGGATGTCCTACTGAAAAACATGCTGGCCTCAGGGGAAAAGATCTGGGAGTCAAGAGGAGTGGGCTTGAAAGTCAGGTGACCTTGAACTTGCACCTAAACCCCTGTGAGCCTTCATGATTTCCTCTAAGGGCGAGTGGGCAGTGCCTGCCTCTCTGCTGCAGGAACCACCCCAGATAAGGACTGTGAGCGTGTTGCCTGCAGGAAAGGGCTGAATTTTCATTCTGGCTAAACTCACATTTCCACAGCTCTCCTCCCAAACCACAGACAACGGATATCCGCTGGGTTCAAAACAATGTTTCCTAAAAGTGCACCCCCTTTTTTAGATGGACTATACTTCGCTTTCCTATTTGCCCAGCCCTGGTCCCTTTGGTCTCTGTGCCAAAAAGGACAACAGCTGCGGCCCTTGCTCTAAATTGCATGTCTCTGATGACAGCCACCATGGTGGTGCAGACACACCCCGAAGCCCCGGGGTGAGCCCTAGCTGGCAGGGACCGTGCCCTCCTCTGAACCCACTTCTGATATTCTCTACCTGGCCTTGGAGCTGCCATCAGCTGAGGCTCTTCTGTGTGCCTGGCTCTGGATTGGATGCTGAGATCAGGGAAGAAGCAATACCTGGCCCTTCCAGAGCCCACCACCCCCCGGTGGGAGACAGACACTGAATGCAGGACAGGTGGAACAGCAGCGCAAGGGGCTGCGAGGCACCGCTCTGTCACTGGATGAGTCCTGTCAACCTCTCTGAGTATGTTTGCAGATCTGTAAAACCAGCATCAACCTCACAGACCTCAGAGCCAGGAAGAGAGAATGCAATAATGTGTGTTAATAATGTATGGAACTCAGGGACTTCCCTGGTGGCCCCTAGTGGTTAAGATTCTGTGCTTCCAAGGCAGGGGGTGAGGGTTCATTCCCTCCTCAGGGAACTAAGATTTCCTGTGATACACAGTGAGGCCAAAAAATAAAAAACAAATTGAAAAAAAATGTATGGAGCTCCATAACTACAAAAGGGGTTCTCAAACTTAATTTCCCGTTGGAATCCCCTGGGGCAGCCTTTGAAAGTTCTCATGTCCAGGTTGCACCCTGAACACAATCAAATTTGCATGAGCTTTTTTTTTTTTTTTGGTGGCTGCACTGGGTCTTCGCTGCTGCGGCGGCTTTCCCTAGTTGCAGTGAGTGGGAGCTACTCTAGTTGTGGCATGCAGGCTTCTCATTGTGGTGGCTTCTCTTGCTGCCGAGCACAGGCTCTAGGCGCTCAGGTTTCAGTAGTTGCAGCACTTGGGCTCAGTAGTTGCGTCTCACCGCCTCTAGAGCACAGACTCAGTAGTTGTGCTGCACAGGCTTTGTTGCTCCGAGGCACGTAGGATCTTCCCAGAGCAGGGATCAAACCCATGTCCCCTGCATGCCAGGCGGATTCTTAACCAATGGACCACCAGACAAGTCCCAGCAAGAGTATTTTTAAAGACTCCCCACAGGATATGGAGTTACATCTGGGCACCAGCAGGTTGATCCAGTGAGTCTTCAGTAAATGTTGGCCACTGTGGACGTGCTGGAGGATGAGAGGGTACAAGTTGTAGAAAGCAACCCGCCCAGCTCTTAAAAGAACATGTGCTGGTGATAAACACTCCGTAAACCATTCCCCAGTGTAGTCACTCACTGGTTTGGATACCAAATATGGTGGGACCCCAGGCAAGATGTTTATCCACCCTGTGACTTCATGCTGCCCTTATTATAACAGAATAGAGAAGGGGAAACGTTAGAATAATAGCCTAAGCCATTGTAAATAAGTTTCGCAGCAGCAACAATTTTAGACTTGTGAGTATATGTTTGTAACATTAATCATCACCTTCCTTCTTTACAAAGAGAAATGACTTTGTAATTTCTGTGCCATCCCCAGGCCACTACATTGGATGGAGTCAACCTCACCACTGAGGTTGTCTACAAAAAGGGCCAGGATTATAGGTTTGTGTGCTACGACCGGGGCCAAGTCTGCCAGAGCTACCGTGTGCGGTTCCTGTGCGGGAAGCCTGGTAAGCAGCCCCTTACTGGGGACGCACTTGCCTCCGTGGCTCAGTTCCTCCAGCTGGCAGCTATGCACTTCGAGTTTGGGCAGCGGGGTCAGCCGCCTCCGGGCATCTCAGTGACATGGCGCTCCTGCCAAGTTCTTGATGGAGAGCCCTTCTATGACACAGGAACCGTGGGAGGGTCCTCGGAGTTGGCAGGAGCCAGTGGAGCCCCACCCTGCCCATACGCCTTTCAGGAAGGGGAAGGGCCTATTCAAGGCAACTAGGGTGCTGTGGACGGAGCTGACCTTCCTGCAGCCCGCCCCACAGAGATACGCAGCCCATGGCCTCTCTGGATGCTATTATTTTAAACCCAGTTCCCGGGGTGCTTGTTAGCAGGGGTTGGAAATGGTCGGTTTCTTCTCGAGGGCACTTGGCCATCTCCAGAAGGCAGTCATTAAGGATGGGAGTTCTTTGGAAGGGGAGGCTGACAGCTACTGTAAATAATAGTTCAGAGAAACTATATTTGTTTTACATCTTTTGCAAAGTGGGTGTGGAGAGACAGCCCCGTTTAACTCCAGCTAAGGAGTTAGTGGAAAATTCCCCTGCCCAGAGCTAATGAATGGCTCTTTTCTGGTAGGGTTTTTGATGACTTAAAAAAAAAAACAAAAAACCAAACCCATACCAAGACTGGTTCGGGGCGAGCCTGGTGATTTGGGTTTTGGATAGGCAAACCTGGCATTTACTGATTTAGGGAGGGCAAGGGAAGAGGTGGAAGTTTCCCAGAACAAAGGTTTATCTCTCAATCTCTCCTATTTCGGGTTATAGTGAGGCCCAAACTCACCGTCACCATCGACACCAATGTGAACAGCACCATCCTGCATCTGGCAGACAATGTACAGTCATGGAAGCCTGGGGACACCCTGGTCGTTGCCAGCACCGATTACTCCATGTACCAGGCGGAAGAGTTCCAGGTGCTCCCCTGCAGAACCTGTGCCCCCAACCAGGTCAAAGTAGCAGGTAGGACATTTGCTCACCCCTTCCTAGGCTAGATGAAACTGAAAATTGCTAGGTTTAAAGTTGACTGAAATAAAAACAAATTTGTATCAATCAGCTATAGCCATGATAATGCTGCATGACAACAACAACAACAAAAATTTCTTAAAATTCCATGGCAAACTTTTATTTCTTACTAATACATCTACAGGCTGTGTAGGGTTCAGCTTTTCTAGACTAAACTTGGCTCCAGGGGTTGGGTTCGGGTCAGTTCCATGTGACACTCATTCTTCCCAAGGACATTATTATTCATGACGGAGAAGTGAACAGAACCATAGGAGGACTCCTAAGGCCTGAGCTTATAACTTGAACCCTCTCACACCTACCCTCCAGTAGATCATATGGTCCAGCTCAACATGAATGGGGAACTCTATTTCTCCCATTAAGACAGAGGGGAGGGAGTGAATATTTGTTAGCAATAATTTAACTTACCACAAAAATTTAAATGTCTTCTTTCTCTACCTTTTACATTTCCTTTTTCTTCTCCTAAATCTTGACTTAAATTCCCTGGTTATTTATGTTATGTGAGGTTACTGGAATTATAGATGATTGGACTGCAAGGAGATCCAACCAGTCCATCCTAAAGGAGATCAGTCCTGGGTGTTCACTGGATGGACTGATGTTGAAGCTGAAACTCCAATACTTTAGCTACCTCATGCGAAGAGTTGACTCATTGGAAAAGACCCTGATGCTGGGAGGGATTGGGGGCAGGAGGAGAAGGGGACGACAGAGGATGAGATGGCTGGATGGTATCACCGACTCGATGGACATGAGTTTGAGTAAACTCTGGGAGTTTGTGATGGACAGGGAGGCCTGGCGTGCTGCAATTCATGGGGTCGCAAAGAGTCGGACATGACTGAGTGATTGAACTGAACTGAGAGCTGAAAAGGATGCTACCCAAATGGCTCAGTGGTAAAGAATCTGCCTGCCAGTGCTGGAAATGAAGGTGTGATTCCTGGGTCAGGAAGATCTCCTGGAGGAGAAAATGGCAACCCATCTAGAATTCTTGCCTGGGAAATCCCATGGACAGAGGAGCCTGGTGGGCTACAGTCCATGGGATCACAAAGAGCTGGACACAACTTAGTGACTAAACAACAACAACAAAGATGTAAAAAGAGACCTTGTTTATAGTCCAGGTCGATTATTCTTTGGGGAGGGGAGTCATGTATTGATTAGAGTTCTTGGTTGTAAGCAACAGAATCCAATTTGACTACCTTAAAAATAGGAATTAATTGGGAAACTATTCAACTTAGAGAGCTAAATAGGAGCTAGGGAGTCATGCTGCAAACAAGGACCAGAAATAGGGCAGCTTCAGGGGTCTGGGGTGCAGGAATGCATGGGCAGCCTCCTTAAGGCATCACTGTTTGCATGTCCTAGGACATGATGCTCGAAAGTTACCTTCCAGGGAGACAGCATTGATTGGGTTGATGGCTCATGTGCTCACCCTCTGGCTAGGACACCATCATTAACTGTCCTTCGAAGACTGCATTGCATGGATACAGTCACTCCCCAGAGGAAAATTGAGATGTATTAGTAGAGAAAGGAAAATCAATACTAGGCATTAAAAATATCAGTTGCTATAAGTGGAATCTAAAACACAGGTACAAATGAACTTATCTACAAAACAGAAATAGAGTCACTGATGTAGAGAACAAGCTTATGGTTACCAGGGGCTAAAGAGCAGGAGGGATTAATTGAGTGATTGGGCTTGACACATACACACTACTATGTATAAAATAGATGGCTGATAAGCACCTACTGTACAACACAGGGATCTCTACTCAGTCCTCTGTAATGGCCTATATGGAAAGGAATTTTAAAAAGAGGGGATGTAAGTGTATATTATATATATATGTAAATATATATATATATATAACTGATTCATTTTGCTGAACAGCAGAAATTAGCACACCACTGTAAATCAACTATAACCCAATAATTTTTTCTTAAATATATCAGCAGCCACAGGACTATTGTACCTAGAGAAGTATTAGAATCTGGGGGTAGAAGAATACTATGGATTGAGAAAGTACACCCAACATATTGAAAATATCTAGTATCTTAGAAACAAAACTACAAAAAGTAAAATTTGACACAGTCTTTTTGGCTAGTGGAAGTGTGCTTGAGAAAGAATGGGGGCTTTCTTCTAGGTACAATGGCTTCTTAGACTTCCTAGCTCCCCACTTACAGGATAGCACCAAGGGAAGCAATTCCTAGTGAGTGCCAGACCCTTGGGTCTTCCTTGGGTGACTTCTGTGTCTCTCCAGGACAGTAGAGGCAGACAGGCCTTCTGGGATGCCAGGTATCCTCTGGGATGCTTGGCAGGAGTGGCATTCAGATGTTTGAGCTTTGTCACTGCCCTCTGTGAGGTGACCCTGATTCTGGGGCTGCCCTTGTGGCTTCTGGGGGGTGAAAGCTTGCCTTTGAGGCCCAGCCTTCAGGGAGGGAGAAGAAGGAGCACCCCTGGAAGAGGCCCTGGTCTGTTCACACCAGCACCCATCTGCACCTCAGTGTTGGGCTCCTCTAGGCCTGGAGGGAGATTTCAACATGAACAGAACCTAACAGGACAGCAGGTAGTGCCACGAGTGACCTTGAGAAAGAGGGAACCGTGTGATATGAGGGCATTTCTGCCTTGCCTCACAGCATGGTTCAGGGGTGAATGATCGAGCGTGGCTCCAGGTGGCAGTGTTTGACCAGTGGTTCTAGGGGCTTCTTGAAGATTGTTCAGGCTGGACAGAGTGTGAGATGGGGCTGCTCTGGGTCCTGGGAGGACCAAGGAGGAAAGAGTGAGTAGAGAGGAGTGTACGCCCCCATCAGGACCCTCCAAGCTCCTTTGGTTCATGACTGCCCATGTCTGTCTCTCCAGGCCCCACAACGCAGACTCCCCCACGCCCCCTCAAGCAAGGGTGGGACCATCTTGTTCAGAAGCTTCAGGGCTTTTGTGAAAACAGAGCCCCCCTGCAGTGAGAGAAGTCCCAGGGAAGGGTATCTGTAAGGTGTGTGTATGTGTCTGTCTGTCTGTCCTGGGGAGGCCCTCATTTCTCCTTTTCGGCTCCAAGCCCGTTCTCTGGCTGTCCCTTCCCCAGAGACATGGAGCGGGGACTCCAGCTGCCTTGTTCTTTCCCAAAATGGCACCGCCACCCAGTTACCAATCAGTGTTCTCCTCCCCAGCCTGGCTGCAGAGTGGGACACAGCCTTCCTGGCTCCTCTCTCCTCACTGCCCCTAAATTCCAGTAAACAGGCCTTTTTGCATTTTAAGGCTTTTCTGATGGGAAACAGATGGGGATAACAAAGTCATGAAAACGTGTGAATCATCTAAAAAAAATATATTCCCAAGTTTTGCCAACCACACTGGGATTCTCAACACCTCCTGACATGGCAATGGGAAATGTCTTCAATTTTCTACCCTGTTTTCATTCTCCACTTCCCACTTTGCTTGTAACCACCCAATATCAAACACACACACTTTTAAGTAATACTACTGTTAATTAGTATTAACATTTTTTGAGTTTCCTACGATATACTAAACACTTTACTTGAACCATCTTTCTCACTCTCCATGGTTACATAAGAAAGTGGGGGCTACTGTTTTCTCCATGATCCAGATGAAGAAACATCTTCATTTCTTCATGGAAATTAAATGTCTAGACTAATGCTTTCCACTATGGTAGCCACCAACCACTTATGGCTATATAAATGTAATTAAAATTAATTTAAAAAAGGAAATTCCATTCCTCAGTCATACTAGCCAGATTTTAAGAGTTCAGTGACCACCTGGGGCCAGTGGATGACACGGAGTAGAGCATGCCCTTCATCTCAGAACTTTCTGGGGATTGCTGCTGTTGTAGACCAAGCAAGTCTGCTTGGAGGATATGAGCCAAGATTCAGACTCAGATCTCTCAAGTTTGAAGGCTACATATTCTCTCAGCATCTTCACTCAAAGACGACTAGACAGGAGGAGGACTCTAAGGCACTCTATAGCTTAAATCTGCCTCTCTGGGACCCTCCAGCCCAAGTCCCTCTGGGCTTGTCCCCATGGTCTGAGAAGGGCAGGCCCCATTGCCCCCTCCCCCAGAATCCCTGGATCATGCTAGGTCAGGAACCACTGCACGGGGTGGAAGATCCTCGATGTTCATTTTTCTCGTGAGCCCAGAGTATCCCGTGCCGTGATTGCACTTCAGAGAGGGCACATTGTAGAATCTGGCCAGTCGTAGGGTGTGGGTCCCTCTGCATCCCACGCCTTTCCCACCCATCATCTGTGCTCACAGCCCTTCTGGATTATTTGGGACAAATCCCTCTTGGCCATGCCTGCCTACTTTACCCCACACCCCCCGCTCAACCCCTCCACCCCCGCTCTCAATACCCGCTTCCTTTGGCCTTCCTGTATCAGGGCTTAGAGAAGGAAGGGAGGGTGGGTGGAGGCCGGCTGGGAGAATTCTGCAGACAGGACAGGATGCTGAGAAAGCAGAGCGCACAGCTTCCCGGGCATTGCGGCCGGGTGTGGCCTGTGAACACAGCAGATAAAGCAGCCGAGAGGTCTGTCAGAGCCCTGATAGGGAGCCCCACGGCAGGCGGGGGAGGAGGCGGTGGGACTGGAGAGTTCTCCCAGCTCTCAGTCTGTCTTCCCACCTCTCCTCCCAGGACTCTAATCAACACAGCGCCTCCATCCACCTGGAAGTCCCCCTACCCCTGGCTTCTTTCCCTCCTCCACCCCTCCACCCCAGCCCATGGAACCAAGAAAGCTGTCAAACCTACTTTCTATGAACTCCCATCATAAGCGTGAAGCCAATGGTGGGAGCCCTCGAGTCACGCCTTTGCTTGGGGATAGCCGCATGTGTCACTTGTGTCACACTAGCCCCCTGCCATGTGCCCAGGGCTGTTCCGGGCACATTCCCTGGATTAATTCATTTCACAACTATCTCTACCTTTTGAGATGCATGCTATGATTGTCTCCATTGTATAGATAAAGAGTCTGAGGCTCAGGGAGCTTAAATGACGTGTTCAGGGATCCACAGCAGTGAACTGAGTCAGATTCTGACCTGAACAACCTGACTCCAGAGCCACAGTCCTCCCCATCCACTGTCTCTCCCCTCCAGTTGTGTTGAGACTGAATTCCTGAGGTGGGCCTTCTGGCCACCCCCAGGAACAGAAACCTCTGGTTCCCATTCTGTCTGCACATTATTTTTTTTTTGGCCACACCACTCAAGATGTGGGATCTTAGCTCCCTGACTCTAACCCGCTCCCCCTGCATTGGAGGCACAGAATCTTAACCACTGGACCACCAGGGAAGTCCCTGGACACACCATATTTTAAAGTGGATGCTGGCAAATCGAGAGGAGCCCCCTGAACTCTGAAATGCATACACTCTGAGGGGTGGCTGGATATCTGGGGATGCATGGCCTGGTTTCTTGGCTCTGCCGAGCACTGTGGGGACCCCAAGATGTGAAGGCTCACGTTGAGCATGGTCAGGGAAGACTTCACTGAAAAGGAGCTAAATCTTGAGGAACAAAGTGATTTGCTCCATAGACAAAGGGAGGAGGCTGTCCTGGCCAGAGAGAGCAGCTTAGGTAAAATCTCTATGAAGTAAAAAAGCAGAGGCTTGCTGGGGGTAGTATGGGTGGTGGGGTCTGGCTGGAGCAGAAAGGTCTGTGAGGGAGTGATGGCGGATAAGCCCACAAGAGTCTGGGTTTTACTCTGTTCATCCTTCAGGCGGCTGGGCAGGGCGCTGTGCTTCTTGGAGCTGTGTGCAAATATCACCTTGGGGGCAAAAGGGACTTGGCTGATGTCCTTAAGTTAAGGCTCATGAGATGGGAGGTGAGCCTGGATTATCTGGGTGGGCTCAGTGAAATCAAAAGGGTCCTTAAAGTATTTATTTATTTATTTATTTGGCTGTGCTGGGTCTTCGCTGCTGCATGAGCTTTTCTCTAGTTGTGGCGAGCAGGGCAACTCTCTAGTTGCAGTTGCAATGCATAAGCTTCTTATTGTGGTGGCTTCTTTTGTCACAGAGCATGGGTTCTCGGGTGTGCAGGCTTCAGTAGTTACAGCACTTGGGCTCAGCAGTTGCAGTTCCCCGGCCTCTAGAGCACAGGCTCAGTAGGTGTGAAACACGGGCTTAGTTGGTCCACAGCATGTGGTATCTTCCCCAGGCCAGAGCTTGAACCCACATCTCTTGCATTGGAGGTGGATTCTTTACCACTGAGCCACCAGGGAAACCCAAAATGGTCCTTAAAAGAGAGATACAGGAAGGTCAGAGTCAGAGGGAAAGACCGAAGGCAGGAGAAGTAGACGACAGAGGATGAGATGTTTGAATGACATCACCGACTCAATGGACATGAGCTTGAGCAAACTCCAGGAGAGTGAAGGACAGGGAAGCCTGGCATGCTGCAGTCCAGGGGGTCACAAAGAATCAGACAGGATTCAGCGACTGAACAACAACAGAGTCAGAGGAGAAAGTGATGTGATGATGGAGCAGATTGGAGGAATGAGCCAGCAGCCCAGGAACATTGACCACTATCTGGATCTGCAAAAAGCCAGGAGCAAACTCTTCCTGGAGCCTCCCAACAGAACCGGCACTGTCAACTTCTGACTGCTGACCCAGTGGAATAGATTTTGGACTTCTGAACTCCAGGACTGTCAGACATTTCTGTTGTCTTTGGACTTCCGTGACGGTCCAGTGGTTAAGACTCTGTGCTTCCACTGCAGGGGGCATGAGTTTCATCCCTGGTTGGGGAACTAAGATCCCACATGCCACATGGCATGACCAAAAAAGAATAAGAAATTTCTGTTGTCTTAAACCACTAAATTTGTGGTCAGCTGTTACTGTAGTCAGAGGAGGCAAATACCAATTCCAAAGGGAATGTTTTCTCAGCTTTGCTAGGCACTGGTCTCGCATCTTGAACTGAGATGCTTCAAAGAAACCACCACCTCGCTGAGTCTGCAGAAATCCAAGGCAATAAACGTCCTCCGACAAAGTGCAGACCCACCCACGGGATGTAACCTAGGTGAAGGACTAGACAGAGGAGCCAGCCCTCCCCATGGATGAGAGGGCAGGGTGAGGTCACTGTCAGTGGGTGCTACTTGGGGCTCAGTACAACCGCAGCCTTTGCGTGTGGGCACCAGTGGTATCGAGGGGCTGAGCTCTCGTGCCCTGCTGCTTTAGTCAAGGTCATAGTGAAAGCCAAGCAGTGTCCGTGGTATGGTTCGGGCTGCAAATCAGCACAAGAGATTGTTGCTGTCTATAATCACATCCTCAGAAGAAAGAGACAGCACCTAGGAGCCAAGTCAGCAGTGTCAGGGACGAGCTAAATTTAAAGGCAGCCTGTTGTTTTTGTTGTTGTTCAGTCTCTTGATCTAGTCCGACTCTTTGTGACCCCATGGACTGCAGCATGCCAGGCTTCCCTTTTTCGCAGTGGCTTTGAAGAGGGGGTTTGTCTTGTGTCCAAAAGAAACCCAACTGGTAGGCAGTCTAGGGCGTGAGCTCTGTGGGATCATCCAGAGCCCAGGTTTCTTCCCTCTGGTTCCTGTGCCATCTCCAGGGTATATTCGCAAACAGACAAGGCTGGCCCACCACCAGTGCCCACATCCCACCCCCCCGGGGGGGGAGCGGGAGCCACCTGCAGGGTGCACGCATTGCCTCTGCTCATCCTCTGACCACGCTCACCTGCGGGGAGGCTAGGGAGTATGGTTGTCCGGGAGAGTCTTGTGTCAGCTAAGATAGAAGTTTCTCGTACTGACAAGCAGAAAGGGGGTAGGAATTAGGGGACAAATAGCCATTTCTGCTATGGGCTTCAGTTCTGAGCATTCATGGCTGGCTCTTCATCCAGGCAAGTAATTTCACCTCCCTGGGCTTCACTCTCCTATAAAATGGGGCTCAGGGTCATGGACAACCCCATGTACCATGGAAGCAGCGGAAGCACCTGGTAGGTCCTAGGCACCATGGATACAGGCAGCACCTCTAATGCTGCCCGCTTCCCTTCTTCTGCCCTAGGCAAGCCGATGTACCTGCACATTGGGGAGGAGATCGATGGTGTGGACATGCGTGCTGAGGTGGGACTCCTGAGCCGGAACATCGTGGTGATGGGGGAGATGGAGGACGAGTGCTACCCCTACAGCAACCACCTCTGCAACTTCTTTGACTTCGACACCTTTGGGGGCCACATCAAGGTATGACAAATCTACCCGGCAGAGTCCATCAACCCAACCAGGAGGATTCACACGATGCCATCCTGGGGGCAGGGGTGCTTGGTAGGGAAGGGATTGGGAGGCAAGGGGTAGGATCAAGAGAGGGGTACTCTCTGGAAGCTGGAGGAGTCTTGTGTGTTATCCACTGGTGTGCAGTTCCATCTGTCAGCACTTGGGGATGAGAAAGATTCCGAGGAACATCTCCTACTCCCCAGGCAGGTGGCACACATCGCACTGTGCTTCTTGCCTTCATGGTTTTCCATTTTCAATCATGGCTTCCATTCCCTTGCTCTATTAGTTAACCCTGAGGACTTTCTAAAAGAAGGGGCATTTAACTCACACAAAGTCACATTTATAATAGATCCTTGCAGGTGGTGTTAGTGGTAAAGAACCTGCCTGCCAATGCAAGAGACATAAGAGACTCAGGTTCGATCCCTGGATTGGGAAGATCCCCCTAGAGGAGGACATGGCAACCAGTACTCTTGCCTGGGTAATCCCATGGACAGAGGAGCTGCAAAGAGTTGGACACGACTGAAGCGACTTAGCACCCACGCACACTGTTAAAATACAGAGAGGGTGATAAGCAAGAGAACTAGAAGTTCTAGCTTCACATTTACCTGTGAGTTTCCCAGTAGAGACTCAAGACCAAGGCAGAGATGATGAGCTGCAGGGGTTCTCATCGCGCAACAAAGAAAAATGGTATCAATTCACGGGAGCTCTTGTTTTCCTAGCATTCACCTCATAGGGGAATTTCTTTAGCATCTCTCTATAAGGTGCCTGTACCTGGCATATTGAATATCCTAAGACACACCAGCCTTCTTCATGAAGCCATTGCTCCCAGTGATTTGATGTTAAAACTAGTGGAATAACAGTAGTACCCCGAAGTTTTGTAAAAATAATTCTTTTGAAGCTAAAATCATATGCTCTAAGGATAAGACTTTTTAAGTAATCTAACAGAAAGGAACAATTGAATGAAACAGTTCATTATGGGGTCCCTGCTGGCACAGGTCAGACAATTTTTTTTTTGTCACAGGGGTCTATATTATAAGATTTCTAGCATTTCTGGCCCCTGCTCATTAAATTCAAGCAATATATCCCAGTCACTGCAACCTCCAATACTACTTCTACATATTTCCAATCAGTGTCTGGGGAGGAGATGGGGCAGGGGTGGTAGTAAAAATAGAGAGATGAAAACAAAAATAGCAGGTTTATGTCACTCAGGCTGCTGCAATCCTGTTTCCCATCTTGAGGGTAAATCCCTGAGTGACCAGAGCACTCCTTCCCACTTTGTCCAAACTAGTCCCCAGAATCATTCTTAACACAGCTCTCCAGGGCAGCCACTGCTAGAGTCAACATTTCAATGGGCACCTGTTTTTGGAAGGAATTGTTAACATGTCCTGAAGTCATCCTTCCCTAGTAGAAGTTAGCAGAGCTCAACCTGGGGCAGGAGTTGTTTTTGAACTGTGCTTTATGGTGAGTTGCTGGAGTATAGATGTTCATTGGGATCAAGTGGGTCCCTTGAAATGTGTAGGAATGGCTCTGAGTATACTATGACATAAGCGTGTGGACCTACAGCTCACACACACACACTACTGGAGTCACGGGCTGATGAAGACCCCAAGCTCAGCTTCCCCTTCCCCCAGCCAGGAGAGGGCCTCAGATGGTGACGGCAACCTGGGCTCTTACTGCCCCAGGGTCCATCCTGTCTTGGACTCTCCAACCCTCCTAGGGTGCACTTCTTGCTAGCATCCCTCAGGTTATCTCAGGGTTACCCCTTTCTCATAATGCTCAGTAGCTTAGGAGGCAGGAAAAGAAGGTTGAGGCAAACCCCAGCCACTGCACATTCTCGCTGCACCTCTTGATCCCGCACAATCCATTGCCCTACACATCACTGTATTATCAGCAGCACCCTGTCTCCAGTGAGGTAGGGAGAGTCAGGCATCTCAACCCATTTGCAGAGAATGTCTTTGATGTACTGAGTCCCTGAGGTGGAGCTCAGTGAAACATTCTGAGGACAACACATGTATGTGCATTTCTGGAATGTGGGCACCAGAGAGGGGGATCAGGGAGCAACCCCATGGACCCCTTCTGACTCTGGGCTCTGCTTTCCCAGTTTGCACTGGGATTCAAGGCCGCACACCTGGAGGGCGTGGAGCTGAAGCACATGGGACAGCAGCTGATTGGTCAGTACCCAATTCACTTCCACCTGGTGGGCGACGTGGATGAAAAGGGGGGCTACGACCCGCCCACATATGTCAAGGATCTCTCCATCCACCACACGTTCTCCCGCTGTGTCACCGTCCATGGCTCCAACGGCTTGTTGGTAAGCACTTCCTTCCCAGGGCAGCAAGGGGTCCAGAGCCCCTTCATTTCCTTCATTTCCCTCCCTGATGCCAATTTGCTCACTGCCGGGCCCAGGGACCGTTAGCAATGGTGGGATGTTTTAGATCTAGTCACTTGGTCCAGGGCCATTGGGGGTGGAACCATCCTTGGCTCAGACTTGAGAACAATATCAATTGAGAAGAGGTAACCCACCAAAGAAGAAGGAGAAAATAAGGGTGTGTCCTTGCTAAAGGGCACCAAGCTACAGAGATGGGTGAGCACCCAGCGGTCATGGGGAGTCTAGCTCTTCTTCTTGGTTTGCCCAAGGATCATACCATAAATGTGTGTCATGACGAATCTGTTTAACTGCAAATGAGGCAGGGGTCATGCCAAGCCTGCCTGACGGGCTTGTAGAGGTGGCAGGAGTGGGCCCTCTCCCCTTTTCTTCTGTTGAACCAAGTGTCTTCAGAGCAATAAGCACTGGGGGACATGCCTTCATTAGTAAGTGGGTGTGTGTGTGTGTGGTTTGTCTTGATTTGCACAGATAATTTTTACACTCAATTGATCCTTCTTTAAGTGAACTCAGCTTACATCCTCCATAATTTTAAAGTTGGACGTTACAAAAATGGCACCCTGCACGCTGAATCCAGTTTGTGTTTTGTTTGGCTTGTATCATGTTTAGAGAAACATTTGATAATTTTACACGAAATGGAACTGTCTTTCAATGGACCAAACTCACATCCTCTGTGAACTTTTAAACCGGATGTCACAAAATGGCGCCCAGCAAACTGAACCCAGTGGCCAGATGTGTTTTGTTTGGCTTAAGCATTTAAAAAAACATTTGAGTGAGTTTTCATCACTTGAAAATGAAGAGATTTCACATAAAATCTTGGATTCTTGGCTTCCTTTGAGAAGTAGGCTGAATTGGCAACACTAGACCCACATTCCTGCCTGGCCACAATGGACTGGGGCAAAGTCATAGCACCCCCGCCCCAAGGTGGGCTTTACTCTGGTTTACACCATGCCCACCACTTCCTAGTACATTATAGTAAATTCTCCTAGCAGCGCCACTCATCAGTATAAAGGGGAGAGCATGGGTTTGGGGGCATAGTCTAGAAGGGCTTGGTCCACAGGTGTTGAGCTATGGACCTTGGGCAAATTGCTCACCCTCTCTAAGCCTCGTATGGGGAATAGGCTCATGTGGAGGAGGGGGTCAGAGCACAGAAAATGCTGTGGGTGGGGCTGGAGGGACGCTCTCAGGGGCTTCTATCAGGGCAGTGCTGCAAGCGAGCATCTTCATGGAGACAAAAACTGTGGAGAAGCCAGAGGAAATGGGATCTTCCTGAATTAGGAATGAAACTCATGGCTCCTGCACTGGCAGGCAGGTTCTTAACCACTGGACCACCAGAGAAGTCCCTTACTCATTTATTGATTCATGAGCTGCTCTCATCTCTCCTTCCCTCCTGAGCCCAAATGAGGAAAACAGACCCCTGGCCTTGTTTTCCCCCAAAGGTTCAGAGGCTAGGGCTTCCCCTGGCAGAGTGGGAAGGAGATGGGCCAGGGTGGGGTGGGGGGGAGTTGCGGAGTGTGCATCACAGATCAGCACAGACATCAACTGGAAATGGAGAGACTGGTTTTTCTTCTCAAGCCCCACCTCCCTCTGCCTGGCTGTGGGGGTTGTGCCGTGCCCTCCCCTACCTGTCCAGGGCCACCTTAGAAACTCACTCTTTTCCTCTTTAGGCAGAATGATTGAGTTCTCGGTTTCCTTTTCCAACTTGTATTTGCATTTTCAAAAGCTCATTAACACAGGCTGCAAAACAAATCACTACCTACTCCAAAGCTCTTTTCCTTAGCGGCTCAAAAAAAAAAAGAGGAGGCAGAAATGGCAGAAGCTCAGAAGTTACAGTCTTCCTTTTAATAAGGTCATACTTGTGGCCAAGTTTCTCATTAAGATAAATTATATCATACTCACCCTAGAAGGAAGAATCAAGTATACAGTTCACTTCTGTTTGTATTTGTTTTATATTTTAAATTAATTTTTATTGGAGTATAGTTGCTTTACAATGTTGTGTTAGTTTCTGCTATATAGCAAAGTGAATCAGCTATACATACACATGTATCCCCTCTGTTTTGAATTTCCTTCTCATTTAGATCACCACAGAGCACTGAGTAGAGTTCCCTGAGCTGTGCAGTAGGCTCTTATTAGTTATCTGTTTTTTTAATTAATTAATTTTAATTGCAGGATAATTACTGTACAACATTGTGATGGCTTTTGCCATATATCATCATGAATCTGTTTTATACAGAGTAGTATTTATTTGTCAATCCCAGTCTCCCAATGCACCCCATCCACTCCCCCATTTGTATTTGTTTCATTCATTTCCTTTTCATACTGTGTGCAGGTTGCAGGAGGAAGTCCTCATAGTTGGGGTGACCCTATGCCCTGATTTGCATCAAACAGTTCCAGTTTACACCCGTTGTCCCTAAATTAATTACTAATAAATAATAGTTAATTAGTAGTTATGTTAATATAATTATTGACATAATAATTATTAATTATAGTTAATAGTTGATAGTTAATTGGTATTAATAGTTCCCACTTTCACTCTTAAAAATGTCCTGGTTGAGACAATAAACTACATGGTCACTCTAACTGAAGCAATTCCTAAGAGCTAAGGAATTTTACCCCTCAAAATCTCACGCCTAGACTCCACTTCACAACAGTTGAAGACTTAAAACAGCTGTCAGGAATCACTTTCACGGTCTCAATCATGAGGGAAGATATCCAAAAGAACAAAGGGAAAATGCAGTTTGGGCAAGACAATGGCCAGGAGTGTATGCATTGCTTCCAGATAGCATTTATGAGGATTCGGTGGGTACACCACACGTCCCCGTGTGTGTGTCTGTCTATCCAGCTCCTTGCTGTCTGTCTGAAAATCCCTTGGATGGCAAGGAGATCAAACCAGTCGATCCTAAAGAAAATCAACCCTGGATACTCCTTGGAAGGGCTGATGCTGAAGCTGAAGCTCCAGTACTTTGACCACTTGAAGCAAAGAGCCAACTCACTGAAAAAGACCCTTACGCAGAGAAAATTGAGGGCAGGAGGAGAAGGGGGTGACAGAAGATGAGGTGGTTGGATGGCATCACCAACTAATGAACATGAGTTTAATCGCTTCTCAGCCTTTAGGCTAAGATCAAGTGCAATGAACATGAGTTTGAGCAAACTCTGGGAGATAGTGAAGGACAGAGAAACCTGGCGTGCTGCAGCCCATGGGGTCACAGAGTCAGACACGACTGAGAGACTGAAGAACAACATCTATCTATCTACCCACATATCTATCTGTCATCTATCTGTTTGTACCCACCTCAAGCCAGATCACAGTTCAAGTGTCTTAATTCTAGGAACTGTTCTAAGGAGGAACAGTCATCCAATGTTAGGGCTGGAAGGGATTTCAGAAGTCTGCCTAAGGACACTCAGACAAATCACGCAGCAAGTCTGTGGTGAAGCCAAACTTGACCTTGTGTCTTCCACTCCCAGCCCAGGTCTTTCTTCTACCTTATCACACTGCTCTCTTGACTCTGTCTGTTACTTCACCCCACTCCTAAAGAGAAGAAAGAAATGCAACACAAGACAGGAGCATTTTTTCACTGGTGCTGTTGCGAACCGGTTTGTACACAAAGTTTAGACTGTTGTGGCCACGTGTTCCGGGAAACAAACTCCCTCAGAAGGACGATGCAGATAGTGGTGTGCAGTTTATTACACCAGCGGGCCCAAGGCAGAGTCTCCTCTTAGCCAAGGTCCCTGACCAATTTTTGTGAAAACCTTATATACCCTAAGTGTACTTGCTCAAACCCACCTCCCCAAATTCCTTGAAACTAGTCTGGACAAGATAAAAGAGAGATATGATCAAAGTTAACCCATGATTCATGTGTCACAAGACTAGATAAACAGTGGATATTTATCAATAGGCCTGTGGTCATATCCCGATAAACATAATGGAATTTACCACTTTGTTCTGTTACAGAGATAATTAGCATATTCTTATAGGCAACGGAGAGTCCAAGTCCAAGTCCTGAGGCTCTTTTATCTGGGGGGTCTTGTTTCCCATTGGTATGCCACTTCTATAGACACCGGGCACAAAGTTCAGAGTCCACTGGGAGGGTGACCATGCGTGTAGCCTAATGTTCGCAGCCTGGCATAAGATGAAGTCCAGCTCTGTCTATTTCCTCCTTCAAGATCAGACAGATGGAGAGGCGAGTCTCCATCCGTCCTTGCAAGAGAAGGGACTTGGGTAACTTTCTAAGTCTCGGTGTTATCGGTTGAAAGGGAATAGTAGTTGGATGAGGATTGGATGAGATAATATATGTAGAGCATTTTACACCCAGCAAATAAGAGTTATTTTTATTCCTTTCAATAAGGATTTTTTCTCTCCAGAGCACAACTCAAGAGGAGGGAATTTCTTTTTCAGGCATTTGTTAAAATAAGAATGTATTCATTATTCACTTGGATTCAAAGAATGAGAACCAAAGTATGATCCAAAAAAATGGCAACTGGGTGCATGGGATTTAAGAGGAACTGTGGGCGGCAGGCAAGAGGCCCAGGTCTGAACACTCCCTCCTCTGGGCCCCAGTGTCCTCCTCTGTAAAGTGAAGGCGTTGAACTTTCTCTCAGATGTCCCTGCCAGGACGAGCAGCCCCTGCTTTCTCACCTCTTCCTCCCAGGCTTGTCTGCCCAGGCTATTTATAAGAAACTTTCATTGCTCACTAGGAGGAAAGGAAGCAGTCCCATTGCATGACCTTGGTATTGGCTAAAATGCTCACTGAGGGACTGAATAGCATTCAAGACCACGCCCTTGCCTATTATCAAAGATCAAGGGGGTGATACTTGTTTGAGAGAACAGAAAGCTTGCCTGGCACAGGGCAGCTGTGCCTGTAACCCACCCTTATGGGTGAATGGGCACAGTTAGAAAACTGGGGTTTCAGCCCTGGTTTCACACATGTGGGTTGCATGACCTTGGGCAAATCACTCAACCTTTCTGAGTCTCATTTTCCTCATCTCTAAAAGAAAAAATACATTATTGGCTTATGTTAAGATTTCAGCAAGATTAAAAGGTATAAGCACCCAGGCCAGTGCCGGGACACAAAGGGTCCTAGTTCCAGGTACTTCTAGCGCAGGGCTGCGTGGGAGTTGGGGGAGTAGGTAAGATTTGTCGTAGAAGAGACTTCAGAGGGAAGTGGGGAGTTTACCCTGGATTAGTGCTTCTCAGACAGGGGCAATTTTGTCACTTCCCTTTCCCAATGGAATTGTTTAGTCGCTAAGTTGTGTTCAACTCTTTTCGACCCCATGGACTGTAGCCCATCTGGCTCCTCTGTCCATGGGATTCTCCAGCCAAGAATACTGGAGAGGGTTGCCATTTTCTTCTCCGGGGGATCTTCCCAATGCAGGGATCAAACCCATGTCTTCTGCATTGCAGGCGGATTCTGTACCACCTGAATCACTGGGGAGGCCTATCCCAATAGGATACTTGGAAATGAATGTCTGGAGACATTTTTGTCACAGCTGAGAATATTTGGCTGGCATCTAGTGTGTAGGGGCCAGTGATGTTGCTGAACATCGCGTCATATACAGGATAACCCCTTGAATGGTAGCAGTGCTAGAGGAGGAGTTAGATGTTAGTTTGGGGGTGATAGATGAATTTTTTCCAGGGCCTGTTGCAGCATCAGGTTGAATGATGTCATAGGGGAGCAAGAGTTTCCTTGATTGGGTGATGTCATTGTGCAGTCAGGACCCAGGGGCAGGGATGGGGACAGAAGATCTCAGTCAAGGTAGTGAGGTGTTTCTTGCTATCCTCACACCCCACTGTGGACAGGGGACCTTGGGAGGTAGTCATCATCTCGATTGGGCCATTCAACTGAACCAGAATGCCCATCTGTCAGGGATGCTGATGAGCAGAGTCCTGCCAGAGACAAGGAGGTACAGCTCCACCCAGAGGCCCTCTGAGGACCCTCGAGCTCTCAGATCGATGAGTTCATTGAGATTCAGACCCAGAAGGGGCCTTGGAGATCCTGGAGCTGGACTCCTTCATTGTGCGGTGGGGAGAGTGTGCTGGAGAGAGCTTGAAAGACTTGTGTGAGAGACTGTACCCCAGGGCCCTCCATGTTTTCGAATGGTTTCTAGGCTTAGCCCCCTGACTCTGTGATTCCATGAAGGATATTGAAGAGCTGGAGTTTGCAACCCTTTCTGGCTTTCTGCAAATGAGGCTTGATATGGATTGTGGGCTCCAAAGCTGGCTTGGGTCTATGAGTGAGGGCAGAGTGAGGAGCCAGTCTTACTACAGTAAGCCCAGCTGGCCTGGCTCAGGTGCTTTCCCCAGGTGGCACTCTCCCCACCGCCCTTTCTTGGGGGACCTCTTGGTGAAATTCTCTCAGTCCTCTTAAGCAGTGCACTCACTGTGTCCTCACCAGGTTAGGCTCACAGGACCTCATCCATGGTCTCCCCTTGGGCCCATTCTAACATCTCGTCCTTTTCCCCGCCCCGGGAAGCCTCGGTCACAACACCTCCAGCAGGAGGGAACTTTAAAGTCTGGCTCTATCGCCCTGTCCCACCCTCCCCAGGCCCAACACCCATGTCAGGTCCATTTTCAAATGCCCAGTGCCCCTCTCAGAGCCTGGTGGTGCCTGAGGTTGTGTGTGTGTGTGGCATGGATGAATGAGCAAATAAGTGGTGATGCTGGGTGACCTGTCCCCTGTCTTGACCCCGGCAGGTCAAGGATGTTGTAGGCTATAACTCTTTGGGCCACTGCTTCTTCACGGAAGATGGACCAGAAGAGCGCAACACCTTTGACCACTGTCTTGGCCTCCTCGTCAAGTCTGGAACCCTCCTCCCCTCTGACCGTGACAGCAAGATGTGCAAGACGATCACGGAGGACTCCTACCCAGGGTATATCCCCAAGCCCCGGCAGGACTGCAAGTAAGCATCTCCCTCACGCGACTTCCCACCCAGCCTCTGACTCCTTGGTCCTGGGCTCCTGTGTGGCCTGGACCTTGCAGCCTTAACCATCTGAGGCTCTCAGCTGCTCAGGCACAGTGTGTTTTCTATTCTCCCTTCTCACTGGGCCTCACGGGCACCGGTCTTGTCCAGAGAGACCACTGTTCTCATCCTTGGGTTTTTCCGAGTGACACACAGGGCTCCTTTGAGGAGAGGAAGCAGGCTGCCGCCTCAGTGCCCACAGCCTGTACGCATGGGTACCAGCTGCCCAGTGTGCTTTCCGACATGAGAGAGTCAGGACAGAGTCAGAGAGAGACAGAGTCAGAGAGAGACAGAGACAGTCAGAGAGAGAGACAGGAAAACAGAGCTTCCTATGCGATCACCCTTCTGAGTCCAGGGTCTTCCCCCTTAGAAACAGCCACTTTCCTGGGTTCCCCTTATTTTCATTTATTCTAGGTTTCATCTCAGATTTAACCCACAAACTTGCTTCTACCGTCAAGAGCCAGACCCCATTCAAATTCTGAGCATATTAGGGGTGTAAATGCACACCACTTTAATGAGAAAATTAGGTTTCAGATCAACAAATCAAGGGCTTCTCAAATCACTACTAAGAGGTTCCTTGAAGCTTCACTAGAGCCATTGACCTGGGGCACCCCTCTACCCCGGACGGCAGAACGGGTGCCAGTGGCCCTCGTCTGATGCCGCTCCATCTCTGCTCCTGCCCACAGTGCTGTGTCCACCTTCTGGATGGCCAATCCCAACAACAACCTCATAAACTGTGCTGCGGCGGGATCCGAGGTGAGCAGAAACCTCCCTGCCTTGGGTGGGGCTGGGGGAGTGTAGATGGCCTGGTCCAGCATATGGAATACATATGCCTTGAGCCCCGGTCTAGACATCTACACAGACAAGAGCAGGGTGAGGAGGGAAGGGCCAGCTTGGGAGGCAGATGGACTTGGTTTTCTTTTTCTGTTTTTGGCTGCACTGGGTCTTCATTGCTGTGCACGGGCTTTCTCTAGTTGTGGTGTGAGTTCTTCTCATTATGGTGACTTCTCTTATGGTGGGGCACAGGCTCTAGATAGTTGTGGCACAGAGGTTTAGTTGCCCTGAAGCATGTGGGATCTTAGCTTCCAGACCAGGAATCAAATCTGTGTCTCCTGCATTGGCAGGCAGATTCTTAACCACTAGACCACCAGGGAAGTCCAGGTGGACTTGGTTTTAAGTGATGCCTCTGGACCTTTGTCACACTGATAATCATAGCTAACGTGATAATAACTCATTATTAGATGCCTGGCATATCAGTGTTTTAAGCTCCAATAACTTAAAACTGCTATCACACTTTAATAATAATTTAAAAAATTATTTTGTGTTGCTGTGTGTGCAAGTTTATTTATTTTTATTTATTTTTGGCCACACCATGTAGCATGTGGGATCTTAGTTTACCCGTCCAAGGATTGGACCTGTGCTCCCTGCATTGGGAGCGTGGAGTCTTTACCTCTGAACCACCAGGGAAATCCCATAAACTCCAGTAATTTATCAACCTTGTATCAACCCTATGAGATTTGTGCTATGACCTACCAGCTGATGGGGAGGAAGATCAGGCAGGGACATGCAGAGGGTCCAAACATGGCATTCTGTCTACCCCGCTTGCCTCTCACCCAGCCCTCTGTGCTGCTCACCTTCCCGGGGGTCCTAAGCAGGTCAGCTGCTGTCTCTGGTTCTCAGCTTCCATGTCTGTGGAATAAAAGGGAAAAGCTAAGAAAAAAGTTCAGGCGACCCTCGTGTTCTGTGTTGGGAGAGGGGGTGGCGATGGACCCAAGGTAGCTCTGAAATCCAGCCACTTGTTTCCCATGGCTGATACAGTAGGACCCCACGAAGGGTTTTAACAGTCAGGATGGAGCCCCACCCACCCACGAAATATACTTGCCTCATACTTTTCACTGTTCTCTGCAGGTGTGTTTGGGGGTGGGGGATGGGGCCGTTTGGGTGATAGCACTAGGCTCACCCCAAGTCTGGGCCATACAGTTACCCCCACAAGAAGCTCCCTGGTGCTGAATTCTGTGCCTTTCCCCCGTGTCTTCCTCCATCAGGAAACTGGGTTCTGGTTCATTTTTCACCACGTCCCGACGGGCCCCTCGGCCGGCATGTACTCCCCGGGTTATTCAGAGCACATTCCATTGGGGAAATTCCTTAACAACCGAGCGCACTCCAACTACCGGGTAAGTGCTTCCAGACTGCGCCTCCCTGCCAGCCCGTTGGCCAGTCTTCCTAGGCCTGCACAGGGTTAGAGCAAGAACTGCCACTGGTGACAGCGGGAGCAAGTGCATTCCTAGCCTTGGCCTTGAAGGACACAAAGCAGCCTTCCATGGCCTCCCAGATCCCGACCGTCCTCAGCAAGGCTCTCCTGTGGCTGTTCCTGCCTTGGCCTCCACCTGGCAACTGGTCGGAGCCAAAAGGAGAGGCAGGAAGCACCATCACTCAGGCTACTCCTCCTGGTGGCCCCTGCTTGGGGCACCTGAGATTGACTTTGCAGCACATATGGTGGGGATGAGTGTGAAAAGCCAGGTCCTATGAGCTGGAGAAGATAAGTACCTGGTCCTGGAGAAAAGATAGAGGTAGCGTCAGCATCCTTCCCTCTGTTCACTTTGTTTCCCTTGGTATACAGCACTAAAGAGGCAAGTGGAAACAGAATTTTCCTGTCATCTTCATTTACTCATCAGTAGTTCTGTGTGTAAGGAAATGGCAACCCACTCCAGTGTTCTTGCCTGGGAAATCCCATGGACAGAGAAGCCTGGCAGGCTGCAGTCCATGGAGCCGCAAAGAGTTTATTTACTTAGCAAATAAACAACAACAACAACAACAGTTCTGTGAGTCCAGCCCCAAACGAGGTGCTGGGGAAGGGACTGGGATCTCAAGGGTGCCCAGGACCCCCAACAAGGACAACATCAAGACCAGACTCACGGTCATGCAGGAATGGAGCCTGGGAGTGGGGCTGGGACCAGAGGTGCTGCGATGGGGATGGAGGTGGCCTTGGGGATGCAGGGACAGCGTCCGTGGAAGAAAGAGTCTGGAATGTCAAGGCTGGTCTTCTGGTCCTCTTCCTGGAGGTGCTGACGGAGGAAACTGAGACCCTTAGCAGGGAACGGATGCATTCAGGGTCAAAAAAAGAGATTCGACTAGAGAGAAGTGTAAAGAAATAATCTCAGAACAGCCCTGTGCTTCCACCTGGGAGGTGGGGTAGGGAAAGTGGTCCTGAGAGGAGGGCTAGGCCGTGTGGGCAGAGGGCAGTGTCATGTGGCCCGGGGCAGTGTCACGTCCTAGAAGCCAAGAAAGACGAGCTTCTCTGGCCCAAGGGTGGAGGCAGGGAGGGTAACAGTGCCACCTGGACAGAGGTGAGGGAATTAGCACAAGCTCCAGGTGGGTTTTTCGGAGGCTGCTGCGGGCCTGGGAGAGCCATCTCTCTGCAGAGCAGGCTTAGGGGCCACATCTCTGTGGGAGAAGAGGGGCTGTGGAGAGACAACTGTTGGCCGCTTGTCACGACCCCTTCCTAGAGAAGCCTCCCCGTGAGTGGAGGCTGGGCCACACAGGACCCTGGTGTTTGGGGAGGTTAGAAAGGAGAGGAATACTCGAGGGAGGATGGTAGCCAGGACTCCTGGGCACAGAGGAAGGGACAGGCCCTGAGGAAGTTGGCAGGGAGGGAAGGGGACAAAGAAGACCCTAGAGCTGGATGGATTCTGAGGCCTGAGCCAGGAGGAGCCCTGCACATGGCGTGGGCGCCCATGCCAACGTGAGCACTGACACCATGTCCCCATGTGAGGGCTCTGCCCCTGGGCTCTTCACCTGGCCTGTCTTATTTGGTCCTCACAGCAGGACCCTAATGTCATCAGCCAACTGAAGCCCCAGAGGTGACAGGATTTACCCAAGGTCACACTTATGAAGGACGTGCTGAGGATGGAGCCCCGCTTCTCCTGACTTACTCACCTCCCCACCGCTTAATTACATGCCAGCTGAAGATCACAGTAGCCAGCGTCCTCAGTTGTATAAAGAGGAGATGATGTAGTCAAACCTTCCTAACAGGCCGAGGGAATCCAGCCCTGAGGGTGGACTGAACAGAGCTACCCTGGACAGCCTTGTTCGGTTGCCTAGACTCACACTCACCTGTGGCTGACAAAGTGGACACCTTGGGGGCCAAATAAGAAAGTGAGATTTTTTTTCCTTGAGTCAGGCAAAAACTGAGACAAAACTGGGGGAGGATCAAAGACCCCTGCTCCAAGGTAAAGACAAAGCTTAAGCTCAGCATTTTCTTTGCATCATTGCAGACACATTTCCCAAGATAGCATGTCTATTGTCTTTAATTTGGAACCTGGGCTTATAACTGCCCAAAGCAGTGTGAGTTCTGATAATGGACTTAGCTGTATGTCCTTGGACAAGATATTTAACCCCATCTAAACCTCAGCATCCTCATCTATACCTCAGAGACAACACCTTATTCCAGATTTGACTTGAGCCATGCAGAACAATCCATGTTCTTCACCTCCCTCACTGCAGACCCCCCATCTCTATTAATACATTCTGAGAGCAAAGCTGGTTTTACTAGAGCATTCAAGAGTATACCATGAGGCTGGGTATGAGAAGATGCCTGCAGCCTGTGGTCCACAATAATGTGTCCCTAAATGTCCCCTCTCCCCAGGCTGGCATGATCATAGACAACGGGGTCAAAACCACCCAGGCCTCTGCCAAAGACAAGCGGCCCTTCCTCTCCATCATCTCTGCCAGGTAATCAACCTTGGGGAGTCCATGCACTCCATGGGGAACTCTAGACTCAGCCCTATTCCCTTTATTCACTCATTCATTCATCCTTTAAGTATCTTTCAGCATGTTCTGTGTCCTGTGCATGGAGCTCACTGCTGGGGCTACTTTATGGGAAAACCTGAGTGAGGCCAAATCTGAGTCAGGGTCAAGGCTTCAGCAGTTGTAAGGAAAAAAGAAATTTCAAGAGGTTTCTAGAAAAATCAGCAAAATCCAATACCTGCTTTTCAGTAAGTTGGCAGGGCTGGGACATAAAAGGTGAAGAGAAGAGAAAAGAAGGGAGGAATTTTGCCATCAATTTAATAGGCAGAAACATTGAGGTTGTACCTATACATACATCTGGAGCTCAGCCCAAGGCCAGGAGCTGCTTTTAAAATATGCTGTCCAAACCTCCAGATAGTTAGGAAAATCAGTACCTTTTAAACAGACCAAGGTGCTTGGTCTCTGTCAAGAGTAGGCAACACCAGTGACATGATCCTCCCAGTGGAAGACTTTTGCTGGCCTGGATGTCAGGAACATCCAGGCTCAGTGCTCCATTTGGTGGCTAAAATGTTGCAGCCCAGAAAAGGCACAAGGTCAAGGTTACTCCCTGGGGAGTAGACAGCAGGGCATCTCAGACTCCCCTTCCCCGTCTGCATCAAGTGCCAGGGTTAGGACTGGCAGTCTGAACTTTCTCCAGGGCTTTGACCCCACCTTAGGGCCAGGGTTGGGGGAGCAGTCCTCAAGGCGATGATGAGCAAGAGAAGCGACTTGTCTATAGGCTGAACGGGGCTGGTGCCTGAAGAGAAGACCTCTGACTTTGACATCAGGCTCAGAAAGCTCATTGCAGAGCCCAGCATGGGCGGATTGATTGCTCTTTAGCCCGAGTCTTCTGGGCACCGTAAGCAGAGAGAAGCTCACCACCACCCAGAAGGGCAGTCAGTTCAAGAGGACCCCTTCCCCAACAACTCGGTCACCTGTGCCTCCCCACTGTGTGTTCCAGATACAGCCCCCACCAGGACGCCGACCCACTGAAGCCCCGGGAGCCAGCCATCATCAAACACTTTACTGCCTACAAGAACCAAGATCACGGGGCCTGGCTGCGTGGTGGGGACGTGTGGTTGGACAGCTGCAAGTGAGTGAGGCATGGGCACAGTATGGAGACCATGTTCCTCCCCACCTCCCCCGGGTGGGAGACAGGCACGAGCAAGACAGAAGAGTCCAGACAGACCAATGTTTGACCTTCTGGTTGCCCAGCCAGGCAGGGACACGGAAGGGCAGCAGGCAGTGACCCAGAAGGCCTGCTAGAGGCAGCACGTGGCTTCTGTCCACCATCTCAGTGGCTGTGGGTCATAACTGCCCCCAAATAGTCACTGGGCTTGGCTCTAGGTCACAAAGTCAGTCGTATCACCAGTCACCTGGAGGAAGGAAGGAAGAAGGAAACAGAACATTCCAGGCACCTCCTGTGTGCTGGACCCCTAGTCGCATTTATTTCTTACCATGTTTCTCAGAGATATAAACCCTCATGTCCATCTAGACATGGTACACTGACTCTGTTGAGTGTATTTCCTGCAAGGTGAGCAGTTGAACTGGAACTTGAAATAGCAGCACATCAGACTTCAACCCCAGAGGAAGAAGACAGGGACCCCGAGCTCTGATAGAAGGTCCCCATGGACAGCTATGGCCACACTGGACAAGAACCAGAGGGACAGGCAGCTGAGTTGGGGTTTCCTCTAAAGGAGAAGTGGAAAATGTCCTCCTGGTCTGCCTTTGGTGTTAAAAGTCAGAGACCATGGACTTCCCTGGTGTTCCAGGGGTTAAGACTCTGCCTTGCAATGCATGGAACATGGCTTTGACCCCTGGTCAGGGAACTAAGATCTCACATGCCGCTTGGCAAAATAAAAGGGACACCAGAAATTATATGTGGGAAATAAGTGTATTTCCCCATTTTATTGTGATTGATTTAAAGGAGACATGGGCTTCCCTGGTGGTGCTAGTGGTAATGAACCCACTTGCCAAAGCAGGAGACTTGAGAGATGCGCATTTGATCCCTAGGTCAGAAAGGTCCCCTGAAGGAGGGCATGGCTACCCACTCAAGTATTCTTGCCTGGAGAATCCCATGGACAGAGGAGGCCAGCAGGCTGCAGTCCATGGAGTCACAAAGAGTCAGATAGAACTGAGCATATGAACACACACACACATCCAGAGGAGAAGGAATTACAGTGAGGACTTCACTGAAAATGCGCACGTGGGACATTGAACAGGCTTAGATGCATGATAGCTCCTCTCTTTTATGTGTGTTAAGTCTGAGATGCTCTTGTCTGACTGTCTGCTCTTGTCCCCAGGTTTGCTGACAATGGCATCGGCCTGACCTTAGCCAGGTAAGAGCAGTGGTCATCGCCCCTGACCCCTGTGGGATGCTGTCTCCAGACATCTCATCTCAGACACCTTCTCTCTGCAGTGGTGGAACCTTCCCCTATGATGATGGCTCTAAGCAGGAGATCAAGAACAGCTTGTTTGTCGGCGAGAGTGGCAACGTTGGCACAGAGATGATGGACAACAGGATCTGGGGTCCTGGTGGCTTGGACCACAGTGGAAGGACCCTCCCCATAGGCCAGTAGGTTTGCAAGCACGGCAGCTTCCTTGTTCTGCCTGTTGTTCAGTCATGAAGTTGTGTCCGATTCTTTGTGACCTCATGTACTACAGCACGCCAGGCTCTCTTATCCTTCCCTATCTCCTGGAGTTTGCTCAGACTCACATCCATTGAGTTGGTGATGCCATCCAACCACCTCATTCTCTGTTGCCCCCTTCTCCTTCTGCCTTCAATCTTTCCCAGCATCAGGGTCTTTTTCCAGTGAATCAGTTCATCATGTCAAGTGGCCAAAGTATTGGAGCTTCAGCATCAGTTCTTCCAATGAATATTCAGGGTTGATTTCCTTTAAGATTGACTGATTTGATCTCCCTGCTGTCCAAGGGACTTGTGGCTTAACCTAAATGACAGCAGTGGAAGGAAAGATGCTAGTATGTGATCTCTACCTGTTGACTGTGAATTCCTCTGTCCTCTACTGGTCAGAGAAATCATGGAAACAATTGCAATTAACCAGCAGAGGGGTGAAATCTAGAATGAGAGAGAGAGAAGTCAAAAAACTGTTGAAAGGGAGTCAACAGCAGGGCACAGCTGTCAAAACATATAATGTGGTTCTGAGCCACGTCCATGGGAATTTAGTCTCCAGGATGGGTGACCCTGGCTTCCTTTCTCCTTGGACAGCCCACTCACTTGGAGCATCTCACCCACCCCTGACAGAGGTGTGAGGATAGTCAGCCCTAAGCACTTGAAGGGGAGTAACCCAGAGGGCCATACAGCCCAGAGTCACGTCACATAGAGATGGGGGTCTTCAAGCAGAAGATGGGACCAGACTTGGGGAAACAGCACGGGAGATGCTGTCACACAACCTGCCATGCACTTAGAAGATGAAACTCACCCTATGTGTGCCTAAGGGTCAGAATTGGTTTTGTGCGGGAAAGAATTTTCTAGCCATCAGGTCTGTTAAACAGCAGAGTAGCACGCCTGTCCTGGGGAGGGGGTCAGAGGCTCTCTATCGCTGGATGATAACCAGGTGGTGGGGCGGCTGGGGGCGGTGGTGACTTGGAGAGGTGATGAGCTAGCAGAGCAGAGGGACTCGCTTAATTCCTCGGAAAGCTGCAGGCTGAGTCAGCGGTGAGGATAGTGTTTCTGCTCAGATGTGAAATCAAGCCAGAGAGGAAGCCGCTGAGCCACAAGCAGCAGAAGGCTAAGATCAACCCTTCCTGCCCTGCCCCCAAGCCTTCTCCTCTTTCTCAGGAATTTATCCTTCCTGCTCCTACAGGTGGGACCCAGGCCTAAGCCTCCAGCCCTAGAGGGATGGGCATCTTTGTAAAGATTGTGAGGACAGACCCACAGTCTCCTTGGGCACGAGCGATCTAGAAGCCCTTGTTTCTGTTTAGCCTAAGAGATGTAGCAATCCCTTCAGATCATTTTTATGAGCAACTCTGGGTCTGTGTATTTGAGTTTCCACACTGAGGGTTCCCAGCCTCCCAGGGCCATAATGTCCTGATGACTTCCAGAGGTGAGTTTGTTTATGGAGGCCTGACAGCTTGGTCAGACTTAGGCAGGTTCCTCCAACTATGTTTGAGAGCAGGAGCCCAGGACAGTGCGGACTGAATTGTGGGGGATCCCTTCTGTATAGGCCTGGGTTGGGGTCCCAGCATAAAGTAAGCTCACAGTTTAAATATAGAGCTAGTCAGAATGGGCTGCCCCTAAAATACCTTAAATGGAAAAATGCACGGAGCTGCTCCATGAGAACACAATTCAAGGCGATGTCATTAATCAATTACAAATAGAAAGATACAGAAATTCCAGAAGTCCTTGGCATACAGTGTCCTGAAGGCGTGTTGCCAAGACTGGCATGACCAGGCCCTTCCTTGGGGGAACATGTCTGGATGAGGGGAGCCCAGCTCTGGAGATGGGGACAGCTGATATGTGGCCTCTCCCCATGGACAGACCCCCTTTTCTGCTTTGTTTTCCTTCCTTCTGCCCTTCCTTCTTTATGTTTACCATGGAAAGAGAGGGTCCTGGCCCAAAATAGTTGTTGCTGTTGTTTAGTTGCTCAGTCATGTCCCACTCTTTGCAGCCCCATGGACTGTAGCCCACCAGCCTCCTCTGTCCATGGGATTTATCAGACAAGAATACTGGAGTGTGTTGCCATTCCCTTCTCCAGGGGATCTTTCCCTCCCAGGGCTCGAACCCATGTCTCCTGCATTGGCATGTGGATTTTTTACCACTGAGCCACCAGGGAAGACCCCCTGAAGTAGAGGTACCAGTAAAAACATAAAAATCAGGCTTGAAGAATGAACAAGTCTAGATTCAGGGCCAGGCCCAAGATGGATCAGCTCAGCCATCACAACCCTGTGTTTTCCACACCCTGTTCAGGAGTCTGTGGCAGAGGAGAGTGGCATCTTGTGTCCCACTGCTGGACCGGAGGCAGAATTTCTGAGTCACTAGTTCTCCCACAGCCTCTCCTACCTCCAGCTCCAAGCCTTTTGCCTTTTGCTCCATCTTCCCCTGCCTCCTGGGCACCAGGGCTCTCTTGAGGTCCTCTGCCAATTCACAGGCTTGTCCTCCCCGTGGGTCCTGCCCTCCCTTCTAAGGGTGCTGGAAACATCACATTGAAGTTACTCTTCCATTTCACTATCACCTTCCATTTGGTGTCCTCCCTCTCCCTTGTTTCCCAAACCCAGCATGCTGTCCATCAAAAGGCTTACTCACAGAGAGGAAACTCATCTGGGTCTTAATCTAATTAAATTGTTATAGCAACTAAGACTAAGGGGATAATGACTAGTGGCTGTACTCTCCTGAGGGACATGATATTAATATTGGCACTCTCCAAGAATACTCACCATATTTATCTGATGACTCTTGATAGGATGGAAAGATTTGGGGAAATGTCTGTACAGAACATCTCCCAAACCTCAAGCCAACAATTAGACATCCATCCATCCATCTAATAATTCATCCAGCAATCAGTTATTCTTGTGTACTGGTGGCTCAACAGTAAAGAATCTGCCTGGCCATGCAGGAGATGTGGGTTCCATGCCTGTGTCAGGAAGATCGCATGGAGAAGAGAATGGCTCCTTACTCCAGTATTCTTGCCTGGAGAATCCCATGGACAGACGAGCCTGGTGGCCTATATAGTCCATGGAGTCATAAAGAGTCAGATACAACTGAGCACAGATGCATGCATACTGTACCCGTAAATGCTTTCTTAGTGAATGAATTAATGAATCAATCATGTTATGTTATAGGGGCAGTTTTGGGAGGTGGAGTAGGAATGAGGAATGATTTACCCATCATTACCATCCACCTTGGAGGGTGCAAAAAACATGGCGGCACCACATGGCCATCACCCTGACAGCTGACTCCCTTCACTCCACAGGAATTTTCCCATCCGAGGCATTCAGTTCTATGACGGCCCCATCAACATCCAGAACTGTACTTTCCGCAAGTTCGCAGCCCTGGAGGGCCGGCACACCAGCGCCCTGGCCTTCCGTCTGAACAATGCCTGGCAGAGCTGCCCCCACAACAATGTTACCAATATTGCCTTTGAGGATGTCCCGGTGAGTGGGCCTCCCCCTGACCCGGGGCGGGCTCCGAGAAAACCCAGACTCGGCCAGTGATTCACGAGTCCCTGGGGGCCTGGAATCTGAGCTGTTGCCACCACCACAGGGGTTGAACATCCTCCTCCGAGCAGGTCGGGCCACGTCTTAGGTCTGTCTGCAGCCAAACTGGAAAAGTACAAGCAGAGGTTGCCCCACAGGTCAAGTCTGGGTGAATGCCCGCCTGCCCTCAGCCTGCTCAAAACCCACCCAAGCCTTGGCAAGAACTTTCCGCTGCCCTCAGAGTTCTGAGGCTCTGTTCCTCCAAGGTTCTTGGGTTCAACTTCTGGAGTTTGGTGACTGGGCCACTTCAGTTGGCACAATTAATCTGAAAAAAAACACAAAAAAACAGCAGTTTCCGAAGGAATCTTTGCAGAAGAAGCTCTGTTTAATCTCTCCCAGAGACTGAAACATAAACAGGGCCCTCCTGGCCCTGGACGGCAGCAAATTAGGAGCCAGGGGTGAGGTGGTCAGGATGGAGGGCTACCCCTGAGACTGGCAGGTCCAGGGCTCCGGGTACATTTTCTCTGGGTTACAGCATTCCCAGACCTCCCCCCTCCTCCTCCTGCTCCTGCCCTTTGCCTGTCTGCCCAGTTCCTGGCAGCTGAGGGAAAAGATGTGAAACTCAAGTTACTTAATTTCTTTACTCAGGCCATTGGAGGCCTGAAAGAGGTCAGTCATGGAACTCTCCAAGGGTTCATGTTGAAAGACTGCCTTCCTACACCACAGTGTACACTCACACACACACTCACCCACACACACTCACATACACATCCTCGCGTCACACATGTCCACCTGATGTGTGTGCATGTTTGTTATATATATGTAATACTTTCTCATGCAAACACTCACCACCACGTCAATCTCATTTCCTCTCTGTCTCTGTCACACACACACTCTGCCCACCTCCCTGCCCCATGCAGTCTTTTGAGCCACGTGTCATGGTATTCTCTGGGGCTGCACACAGCAGCCAGCCCTCCAGTGAGTAGAGGCCAAAACCGCATGCTGGGCCTGGGGGTCGAAGCACAGCAGATATCTGGTTGTCTTTCTGGCTCCATCTGAAGAGTCAGCCATGTGGTTTCCTGCACTGCCCCAGAGCCTCTCTGCTTTGGCTGGTTGGTAGCATCAGCAGAAATCAGGAACTTCACCCTGGCCCGCCGATGGCCACTACCCTCCACCCTCCACCTTCTGGTCCAGCCTCACTTTCCTGGTTTCTGTTTAGATTACTTCCAGAGTTTTCTTCGGGGAGCCCGGGCCCTGGTTCAACCAGCTGGACATGGACGGGGATAAGACATCAGTGTTCCATGATGTGGACGGCTCCGTGTCCGAGTACCCCGGCTCCTACCTCACTAAGGATGACAACTGGCTGGTCCGGCACCCAGACTGCATCAACGTTCCAGACTGGAGAGGGGCCATCTGCAGCGGGCGCTATGCACAGGTGGGTGGGGATGCGGGGTGCGCCTCCTCGGGGTCACTGTCATCTACTCGTGGGATGAGCATTGAGCCAGGCCAGAAAGAGACATGGGCTTCTTCTTTTTGAAAAAAACATTTTATTTATGTATTTGTTTTTGGCTGTGCTGGGTCTCTGTTGCTGTACACAGCTTTTCTCTAGTTGCGGCGAGCAGGGGCTGCTCTCTAGCTGCGGTGCCCAGGCTTCTCACTGTGGTGGCTTCTCGTGTTGAGGAGCACGGGCTCCAGAGTGCAGGCTTCAGTGATTGTGGCCCACAGGCTTAGTTCTTCCAGGATATTCCCGGACCAGGGGTCAAACCCGTGTGCCCTGCGTTGGCAGGCAGATTCTTTACCACTGAGCCACTACGAAAGCCCCATAGGCTTCTTCTGTATCTTGTTTAAAAATTTTATCAGAGTACAGTCACTTTACAGTGTCATCTTAGCTTCTGACATACAGCAGAGTGAGTCACTGTACGTATACACATATCCCCTCTTTTTTAGATTTTCTTCCCATTTTAGTCACTACAGAGCATCAAATAGAGCCCCCTGTGCTTACAGTAGGTTCTCATTAGTTATCTATTTTATACATAGTCTCAATAGTTATCTATTTTATACATAGTCTCAATAGTTATCTATTTTATACATAGTGTATATATGTCAATCCCACTCTCCCAATTCATCACCAAAAAATCTACAAATAATAAAAGCTGAAGAGGGTATGGAGAAAAGGGAACCCTCTTGCTCTGTTGGTGGGAATGTAAATTGGTACAGCCACTAAGAGAACAGTATGGAGGTTCCTCAAAAAACTAAAAATAGAACTACTGTATGACCCAGAAGTCCCACTCCTGGGCATATAAGTGGAGAAAACCATAATTCAAAAAGATATATGCACCCCAATGTTCATTGCAGCACTATTTACAATAGTCAGGACATGGAAGCAATCTAAGTGTCCACCAACAGAGGAATGGATAAAGAAGACATGATACATATACACAATTAAAGAATACTCAGTCATAAAGAAGAATGAAATTGTGCCATTCTTTATTCTTTTTTATTTTTATTTTTTCTCCTCACCCAATAGGATTTCCAAAAAGCCCAAGTGAAAACACTTTGTAAGCAGAGGTCAGGCTCCTGCACTTACTGTGTGACCTTGGGCAAGTTATCTAAACTCCTGAAGCCTCTGTTTTCTTATATGTAAAATCAGGAAAATAGTTGAACTCTCTTAGTGAGCATGTAAGTGCCTCATCAGTCCTCTCCACCAGAGATATAATACAGTCACATGAGCTCAAATGTTCCAGGAGTTACGTTAAAAAGGAAAAATAAACGAGTAAAATCTATTCTAATAATAGACTCTATTTAACTCAATATATTCAAAATGCTATCATCTCAACATGTAATCAGCATAAAAAATAATTAATGAGGCATTTTACATTCATTTTTTTTCCTGTCCCAAGTCTTCAAAATTCTCTGCATATTTTATGCTTGTAGCCCATTCAGTCTGCATTCAAATTTTCTACAGTTAAAGTCAAAGCTAGTCCTACCAAAACAATACAGCTGTGTTTCAGGGAAAACTCTCTTATACCACTTTTGAAATTTAAATTAATTAAAGTGAAATTTAAAATCTGGGGCCTCAGCCACACTGCCCACATTTCCAGTGCCCAGTGGCCACATGGGCAGCAGACAAGGAAAGTGCCGGTCGTGTGAAAATATCGGTGACTACATTGATGTTATGCAGAGGAATAACCAGGACTGGATGAGCAGAAAGAATGAGTCCCCACGGAAACAAAGAGCTGTATGATGAGGAGGGTGGTAAGCCTGGAGGCCCCAGTGGGGTAGGAACACGTAGGAATGAGGAAGTCGTCACCACCACCACAGAGGCAGGCAGTTATCACCACTGTGGACGTCAGCATCCAGGGTGGGCGTTAGAAGAGAGCTAAGGGGGGACTTCCTAGAGGTCTGGTGGTGAACACTCTGCACTCTCACTGCCAAGGGCCCGGGTTCATTCCCTGGTCGGGGAACTAAAATCAAAAAAGAAAGAAACGAGAAGTGCTAAAGGTGATAAGGTGGCTTGACATCCTGGGAGAGACAGGGCAGGGAGCTAGGTAAAGGGCCATAGTGGGGCGAGGGGCCCTGGGGGCAGGGCTGTGCTGGGAACAGATGCCCGCAGAGGCAGGAGGGGCTGGCGTGGCAGGAGGGGCTGGCGTAGCAGGAGAAGGGCACAGAGGAAGAAGGGGCCAGGATCAGGGAGGTCCAGGGCATTTCTTTCCGCAGTAGAAGGGGAGGTGATGCACTGAAAGGGTAGACAGTGGGCCTGAGCCGGAGGTCTGCAGAGAGCGATCAGGCTGGAAAGAGGTGCCGCAGAGACTGGGAAATGCTGACAGAGGCATGTGGAAGGAGTGTCAGGCCATGCTACAAACCCAGTGGAGACGGCTAATGGAGCCTGGAGGGGCACCCCGCTCCCCATTGCGAGACTTCCTCAGGCCCACCCCAGCGCCCTGCAGGGGAGGCGGACCCGGGGAATCATCCAGGCCGAGGGGCTGCTGCGTATGTGGGCAGGACAAGGGGTCTGACGCTCCGGGAGTGAGCAGGTGATGTCATGGTCCAGGGCAGCTCAGAAGGGAAGTGTGGTTTGAAGGGAGCTGATGAACGGGAGTCATGACCCACATAATTAAAGGGTGACCAGACCCTTAGGCCTTGCAGCCACACTCTGAAAGTGAGAGTATCCCTGATTCAGGGCCAAGACATCCCATGTGGAGGGAGCCTTGATCTTGAGCTTCCTTCCCACCCTTTCTTCCCGATACGTTGCTCATCTTCTGTGGAAAAGGGCTGACCGAGCTTGGAGGTTATCGGAATGCACTACTGGTTAATTGCTATTAATATTCTCCTTTCCAGAGATGGTGGGGTGCATTGAGAGAGTAGCGTTAAAACATATACACTACCATATGTAAAAGAGATAGCCAGTGGGAATTTGCAGTTTCATGCAGGGAGCTCAACCCGGTACTCTGTGACAACCTAGAGGGGAGGGGTGGGCTGGGACACAGGAGGGAGGTTTAAGAGAGGGGACATACGTATACCTATAGCTGATCCATATTGATGTGTGACAGAAACCATCACAATGTCATAAAGCAATTATCCTCCAATTAAAAATAAATTAAAAACATTAAAGGATGGGAAAAGAACATGTAAACACTAAAAAATAATAATGATAATATCCTTCCTCCACTTTACAGCTTACCACAGGCTTTAAGATGCAATACCTTTAAATGCTTAGACTCACGGCAACTCCATTAGGACAGGGTTGAAGTTCATCTTCCCATTTTTCATGTGATACAAGCAGAAAGGAAGAGAACTCCTTCTTTCCAAAGGCACAATGTTACTGAATCTTGATGTGATGTTTCCTCTTGGCCACAGCCACAGGGATGTCACCTGATGAATATGGGACAGATCCTAAAACAGGACACGGTGTTTTATTTTATTTCTTGGCTGTACTGGATCTTTGTCGCAGCATGTAGTCTTTCTCTAGTTGTGCACAGGGGCTTCTCTAGTTGCAGAGCACGGGCTCCAGAGCATGAAGGTTGGGTAGCTGTGGGGCATTGGCTTAGTTGTTTTGTGCCATGTGGGATTTTATTTCCCCAATAGGGGATCAGACCTGTATCACCTGCATTGGAAGGTAGATTCTTCGCCACTAGGCCACCAGGGGAGTTCTGGATATGGTGTTGTTTGTTTTTTAATGGGTTTTTAAAATTGAGGTATATAGTTGATTTGGGGGCTTCTCAGGTGGCTCAGGGAGAAGGAAATGGCAACCCACTCCAGTATTCTTGCCTGGGGTATCCCATGGACAGAGGAGCCTGGTGAGCTACAGACCATAGGGTCGTGAGAGTCAGATACAACTTAATGACTAAACCACTACCACCCACCAGGTGGCTCAGTGATTGAAAAAAAAAATATTCCTGCCAGTGCAGGAGACTCAGGTTCAATCCCTGGATCGGGAAGATCCCCTGGAGAAGGAAATAGCAACCTACTCCAGTATTCTTGCCTGGGAAATCCCATGGACAGAGGAGCCTGGTGGGCTACAGTCCATGGGGTCACAAAAGAGTTCGACACAACTTAGCGACTAAACAACAGCACAGTTGATTTACAAGGTTGTGCCAATCTCTGCTGTAAAGTAGCTCAGTTATACTCATATATACTTTCTTTTTAGGTTCTCTTTTCCTTTATGGCTTATCACAGGCTATTGAATCTAGTTTCCTGGGCTATACATGGGGACCCTCTTGTTTATCCATTCTAAATATCATAGTTTGCATCTATCAACCCTAGACTCCCAATTCATCCTTCTTCCTCCTCCCTCCCCCTTTTGGCAGCCACAAGTCTGTTCTCTATTAGGACATGGTATTTTAAACCAAGGGTGACTATTTTAAACCAAGTAGTCAGGCTTTTCTGTCCCTTGGACTCAGCAGCTAACAGTCTTGCTTGCATGTTTGCCTCGGAAATGAGACACCATTGGTCACCCGATGTGTACCGATAGCCACAGGGACTGACCACTCTAGCCAGACACCGAGGATGAGAGGGAGAAGTTGGCCACAGGCCAGGCTCTTTCTCAAATGCAGACAGGACAGTAGCTGGTTACAGGGGAGTTGCTTCTGCAGCAGAAGTGTGAAAATCCTCTCTCCCCTCCTCCTCTTCCTGATCCCCCTGACTTTCCTCCCAATTTGCTCTCTGACAATTAAGCAGACACCCTCCAAGTTCCCGCTGGTTTCCCCTCAACAGAGCACTTTTTTGAAGATGAACAGAGAGCGTTGACTGGCTTGCACAGAACGGCTGGGGCCGCATTCACCAGCAGAAAGAGATGCCCCCTTATTTGGCCTCCTCTCATTCAAGCTTTCTAAAAAGGGCTCTGTGAAGAGCAAGTGCTTGTGAAAGTGTACTCTGTGCTCAGATGTTAACCAGACGTTCCCGGGATGACCCCTTGTAATTACCCTGTTGTGTGTTTCCTTTTTGGGCTCTAAAAGATGTACATTCAGGCCTACAAGACCAGTAATCTGCGGATGAAGATCATCAAGAATGACTTCCCCAACCACCCTCTCTACCTGGAAGGGGCCCTGACCAGGAGCACGCATTACCAGCAATACCAGCCAGTCATCACCCTGCAGAAGGGCTACACCATCCACTGGGACCAGACTGCTCCCTCTGAGCTCACCATCTGGCTCATCAACTTCAACAAGTGAGTGGGGGCCTCACAGGAGCAAGGTGACCTGGGGACAGCTGCCCTGGCCCCACTCAAAGCTGTGGTGATAACAGGGACTCGTTTCAAAGTCCTGGGCTTACTGCTCACAGAATCCCAGGCTAGCCCACATCACCCCTGCACGAGGATGCACCTAGAGGGCTTGACGTCACCTAGTGGTTAAAAGGCAGAAGACCTGGGCTGAGGTCCTGTTCCGGGCGTGGATGACCTTGCACAGGGTGTCTGACCCTCAGAGCCTCAGTTCTTTTTTCATCTAGGAGATGAGCCTACATAGTGTTACTTTGCAGAGCTGTAGTCAGGATGGAGTGTGAGAGTGTACAGCAGGTGTTTCACCAAGAACCTGGCTTTACAAAGTGCTCGATATATGGCAAAAATCCCTGGCATTCCCATTTTACAGAGAGATGAGACTCTGCATGGTGAAGGGTTGAAGCTGAGGGCATCTGGAGAGGGCTTCATGTATTTATTTATATCACGTATCTTCTGTGCATGAACATCATTAACTTGGCACAGTATTCCCGTGAGATAGACATTTATCAGATGCAGAGAAGAAGACCCAGAGAGATGAGATGGGCCCCACAATCAGGCTGAACCAGGAAGGGGCTGAATCCAGATCTTTCAGACCCTGGTTTTTTCACTCCAGCCCTACTGAAGTGAAAAAGTGAAAGTGTTAGTCGCTGAGTCTTGTCCGACCCTTTGCAACCCGCTGGACCGTGGCCCAGCAGGCTCCTCTGTCCATGGAATTCTCCAGGCAAGAATACTGGAGTGGGTGGCTATTCCCCTCTCCAGGGAATCTTCTTGACCCAGTAATTGAACCCAGGCCTCCTGCACTGCAGGCAGATTCTTTACCATCTGAGCCACCAGGGAAGCTCCTAGCCCTGTTGAAAGAAGGTCTTTTTATTTTTCCTAGCCAGTGTTTCACATAGAACACACAGTGCAGACCCTGGGGACACCTCACCGACCCATTGCCATCATCCATTCCAGTCATCGTTTCTCCCTTTGTCCTTGAACACTGTGTGACCCAATCATGACCAACAGTTCTTTCAAACCTCCACACTGAAAAGTGGGCATGCCGTTCGATGGAGAATGCATGGGTCTTTGTCCAGTGCACCGAAGAGGCCCCATGACTGGGACATCCTTGCTCGTCACCTGATGACTGTGCTTCCCATTCTAGGGGTGACTGGATCCGAGTGGGGCTCTGCTACCCCCGGGGCACCACTTTCTCCATCCTCTCGGACGTCCACAATCGCCTGCTGAAGCAGACGTCCAAGACGGGCATCTTCGTGAAGACCTCGCAGATGGACAAAGTGGAGCAGAGCCATCCTGGCCGCAGCCACTACTATTGGGACGAGGACTCGGGGTGAGGAGCCCTCTCAGTTGTCCCCGGCCTTTCCAGCAGTCCCAGGCCCACCCTGCAGTGGGAGACCTAATACCCTTTGGCAGGCACTTCTGAGCTCAGGCGGATTGTACCATCCACTGCAGACATTGTTTTTAAAGCTTTGGGAGGAAAATAAGCACGCTCTTAATATACACATGGGTTGTAGGGAATCCACCTATTTTAGGAGAAACAATGTGGGAGCAGTGAATCTTAGAACTGAGAAAATGTGGCACATGACCTCAACTCCTTACACTCCAATCGGAGCCGATGATATCATCCTTGAGTCAGAAATAAGCAGAGAAGGCATAGGGTGAATGGTAACGACTTGTTCAGAGAACCTAGCATGAACTCAACACGGCTGGTTTTGAACACATACCTCTTTGTACCTCCATGTCCTCCCCTTTTTGCTGAACTGCACTAGGTCCTATTCAGTAGGGACATCAGGGGGACAGAGTCTCTGTTCCTGGAGACAGGGAGCTAGGAGGTCACCTTCCCTAGAGAGAGAGAGTTTTACTCTGACATCTTAAGAATGCTGACATGTCTGCAGAGCGATGAGCCTGTTGTTAGCCAATTCTCCAGGGACTAAGGATAAAGGATTGTTTCATGGCCATTTTTTTCCATTCTTTTTAAAAAATTTTAAAAATATATTTTTATTTATTTATTTGGCCGCTCTGGGTCTTAGTTGCGGCTCATGGTGTCTTTAGTTGAGACATGTGAACTCTTAGTTGCAGCATGTGGGATCTAGTTCTCTGACCAGAAGGAATCGAACCCAGGCCCCCTGCACTGGGAGCCAAGAGTCTTAGTCACTGGATCATCAGGGAAATTGCTCCACTTTTTTTTCCATTCTTGAATTGAAATCAATGGTAAGGAAGCAGAGGATGCTTAGAAATATCTATAAAGATAGGGCATTATCAATTTGATTAAAGGGAAATTCATATTTGAAAATCAGAAGTGTAAGTAAAAATGTTGGGGTCTGGAAAAGCAGCATAGAGCACCCCTTCCCCATGTCAGTTCTAAACCAGTGGTGGGGCAAACAGGACAACAGGTGAAGAGAGACCTGTCTCACTGATGACAGAGCTATTGGTGAGCAGAGCTTCCCAGTACTGGGTGCCTCTAGCCAGCCTTAGGCTACTTATTTCATGAGGGCAGCCATACAATGACACTGAAACCAGCGTTGTGATTCATAAGTAGCCCTGAATGAGCCATCATGCAATGCTGGAGCCATTTTTCTATGAGCTTTGAAAGGGCACCTGATTTTTTTTGTTAATTCTTACCTGAAATCTCTTCATTTGACCATATGATTTTTGAAAAACAAAATAGCACACCAAGATAAAAGATGAAACAAGAGTTCGAATAACTCAGCTATGAAGCTCCTAGTCCAATGGAGGAGAAAAGCTTGCCTAGGGAAACCTGGCGATGACAGTAGACTCATCTGATGTCCCATGGGAAAGCCTGTTTTTCCAGAAGTCAGAATACTGTCTTTGATATTCTGATGCCTATGCCAAAATATTAAAGGAAAGCATCCCATGTTCATATGACTGTGGTATTTGTGAATAAAACTCATTCCTTTGATACCCGTGGAGATTATAGCATCGTCTTTAGGGTTTAGGACCTGGGTAATGTTCATGCCTGCAGTAATATATGAAGATAATGAACACCATAGGAAATAACTTCCAAGTGACGTGTAAATAGTAAGGAACAACTTCCCTGATGGCTGAGTGGTTAAGAATCTGCCTAGCAATGCAAGAGACTTGGGTTCAATCCCTGGGTCAGGAAGATCACCTAGAGAAGGAAATGGCAACCCACTCCAGTATTCTTGCCTCGGAAATCTCATGGACAGAGGAGACTGGTAGGCTACAGTCCTTGGAGCCACAAAGAGTTAGACACAACTTAGCAACTAAACAACAACATGGGGAGCAGACCAGAGCCTCCCCCCATCCCATCCCATTGGCTGACCCATATACCCACACCCAGCAGTCAAATGAGTCACTCTACTTTCCCCGGGAAGACGTCAGTGAGGGGACAGGATGGGCCCAGGAGTGTTTAGAAAAATCCCTCTATATGAAAACTGCTGCTAAGTCACTTCAGTCGTGTCTGACTCTGTGTGACCCCACAGACGGCAGCCCATCAGGCTCCCCCGTCCCTGGGATTTTCCAGGAAAGAATACTGGAGTGGGTTGCCATTTCCTTCTCCAAAGCATGAAAGTGAAAAGTGAAAGTGTAGTCGCTCAGTCGTGTCCTACTCTTAGCGACCCCATGGACCACAGCCTACCAGGCTCCTCCATCCATGGGATTTTCCAGGCAAGAGTACTGGAGTGGGATGCCATTGCCTTCTCCGATATTAAAACTAGAGAAGGAATTAAATATCCCTCATACAACAGCAGAAACCATTATGATTTAAAAAATGTAAACAAGGTGAAGTCTTTATCGCACCATCTATGCATAACATCTTTTTAGAATCATGAGAATTGCTTTGTTCCAGAGGTGTGAATTTTTCAAATGGAAACTGCCACTAAGCAAGTTGAACCTTTTTTGATCAAAAATTTTTTTAATTTACGATTTTCCCCTTAGAGCAGATTCTGCTGCTTAATTTACCCTTTTTATTGGTTGCTTAGCTCATCATTATACCTATTGATTATCACACTGGGCCTTAACTCAGTGACAGCCTCAGGGATGAACTGGGTTGTAGGATGCTTGTTTCCTGTGTAGAAAGCCAAACTCTTAGGCTTTTTGAATTCTTAGGCTGTTTTCCATGATCTTTCTGCCTGACAAATGTGTTACACTTTCTTACATTCTGAGCACCTGCCATCGATGGCTAACTTCTATTCTGCTATGGTCTAGGACACCCGATAACCAGCCTGTTATAACTGGAGAAGTGTCAGGTTATGAAGCCAGAGAGCTTTCTCCTCGCCAGGCACAGGGTGGGAATAAAATGCCAGCTCTGCCCCTTTGGTGCTATGTGGTCCTGGCAAGTCACTTCACTTCTCTGAGCCATTGAGATGTGAGAAATGGGGATGATAACAGTGCTTGCCGGACTAGATTGTCTGAGGGTTAAATGAGATAATATGTCCGTTGATGGCATGTGCCTAGCATAGCATAGAGTAGGTGCTCGGAAAATGAAAATTGTCAGTATTAGCTTTTTCCTCAATGCATTTTTTTTTCATTTCTCCAACCACGTACAAACTTGTGGACGTGGCGGGGGTGGGGGGTCCTCCTCCATTCTGCGGGGCCCACTGGGTCTAGTACTGTGGCCAGCACAGAATGCGGGGCCAGAGGGAGGAAGAAAGCGGGTGAGGGGAGGAGGAAGATGCGGATACCAAAGGGAACCACCCGCTCTGCTCCTGTGCGCAGGCTGCTTTTCCTGAAGCTGAAAGCTCAGAACGAGAGAGAGAAGTTTGCCTTCTGCTCTGTGAAGGGCTGCGAGAGGATAAAGATTAAAGCTCTGATCCCAAAGAACGCAGGCATCAGCGACTGCGTGGCCACGGCCTACCCCAAGTTCACAGAGAAGGCCATCGTGGACGTGCCCATGCCCAAGAAGCTCTTCGGTTCTCTGCTGGTGAGTGGCCGACGGCCAGCCGAGCCCCAAGCCCCTCAGGGTCCTCTCCGGACCTCCGCTCCCCTCCTCAAACCCTTTCCCATGGCTGAGGGCTTACAGGGAAGTGAGGGGGCCAACCAGCCCTCGAGCTGGACGCTGGACCTCCGAAACCTGACACCCGCCCTGGGTTTGTGTTTTTTCTCCAGAAGACAAAGGACCACTTCCTGGAGGTGAAGATGGAGAGTGCCAAGCAGCGCTTCTTCCACCTGCTGAATGACCTGGCATACATCCAAGTAAGCCACCGTGCCCCTGCCCGGGGCATCTCTGCTCTCTGAGACCTGGTGTCAGGGCCTAGGGCTGTGGTCACCAGTGACTGCCAAGCAGGTGGCTGCAGACAACAGAAGCGTATCCCCGCACAGTTCACAAGCTGGATGCCCAGCACCACGGGGCTGGCAGGGTGGTCTCCTCCTGCAGGTGCTGAGGGCGAGTCCTTCCCTGGCCTTCTCCAGCTTCTCTGGCCACCAACAGCCCTGGACGCCCCCCTCCCAGCTCACAGCTGTGTCCCCCAACCTCCGCCCCTGTCCTCATGTGATCTTCTGCCCCATGTAACTGAGTTTCAGATCGCCCTCTTCCTTGTCCTTATAAGGATATCTGCCTTTGGATTTAGGGCCCATCCAAAATCCAGGATGACCTCATCTTGAGATCATTAACTTAATTCCATCTGCAAAGGTCCTTGCTCCAAATACTCACTCCCAAAGGTTGCAGTAAACATGTCTTTTGGGGTGAGGCCATTCCAGGTGGCTCAGTGGTAAAGAACCTGTCTCCCAATGCAGAAGACACAGGTTCAATCCCTGGGTTGGGAAGATCCCCGGAAGAAGAAAAGAAAAACCAACCCAAGAATCCCACTCTTGTCTGGAAAATCCCATGGCAGAGGAGCCTGGTGGGCTACAGTCCATGTGGTCGTGAAGAGTCAGACATGACTGAACAACTGAGCATGCACACAAACACACACACACATCCTCCAGCCACTACACAGGGCTGCAGGAACTGACTGAAGTGGGTTTTATGCTTTGAACAGCTGCACTGGCACCCTCTGCCTTCAGAGCTTACATGGGACCCATGTGGGCAGGAGAGCCTCAGGGCTCTGATGCCTTCCAGACCCCCCCCCCACCCCCCGCCTCCACGTCACACTCTGTATTGCCTGTCGTCTGCAGGTGGATGGGAAGAAATACCCCAGCTTGGAAGACGGCATCCAGGTGGTGGTGATTGACGGGAGGCACGGGCAGGTGCTGAACCACACTGGCTTCAGGAACGCCATCCTGCAGGGCATCCCCTGGCAGCTCTTCAATTATGTGGCGACCATCCCCGAGAAGTGAGTCTGGCTGACGCCCCCTCCCTGTCCCTGGGGCCTGCATCACAGTCCAGGCTGAGGAAGCTTAGGGAGCCTCCAGGCACTGCCCATGGCTTCTTGGGTGGCTCATTGGTGAAGAATTCGCCTGGCAATGCAGGAAACTTGGGTTCACTTCCTGAGTCAGGAAGATCCCCTGGAGAAGAAAATGGCAATCCAGTCCAGTATCCTTGCCTGGAGAATTCCATGGACAGAGGAGCCTGGCGGGCTACAGTCCATGGGGTTGCAAACAGTCAGACAAAACTGAGCGACTAAACAATAACAGCGGTCTGCCCATCCATGATGGGAGCTGGCCAGGAAGCCTCCCTACCTGGTGCCTCTGAGATGGGAGCCCGGGGCCACTGTGAATGTAGGTCAGGCCGAGTCTACCAGCTACACATGGGAATCCTGCCCCGGCCCTCCACCCCCACCCAGCACACTCTCCCAGCGTGAGCTCATCCCCGCCCGCACTCCTGCTGCAATCCAAATGTTGGTGGCTGCCAAGCGTCTCCAGCCCCCGTCTCCCTCCTAAATGCCAGATATTTTTATCCAACAGTCACTTGGACTCTGCCATCCAAATGTCCCCTATGGAACTGAATTCTCATCATTTTTTTTAATCCCCTAAACAAGACACCCCTCTTTGCCAATTTTTGGTGAAACTGTCATCTCCCTTCCAAGCAACTAGCTACACCAGGCATCACATTTGGTTCCGGTCTTTCTTTTGTTTTGACATCACCACACTCAGCAACCACACCTGTCGACTCCGCCTGCATCGTGATTCCCCTGTTCATTATCCCATGACATCCTCTCCATCGCCTCCAAACAGTCTGCCACCCACACTGTCAGCTGTGACCCAACAGACTCCCTTGCCCAGCCTCCCCCACTTGAATCCATCCACCATACTGAGGGGAGGTGGTGTTGAGCTTCTTAAACACAGGTGTCCTCTGTCCCCTTTCCTAGGAGTAATTTCCCTGCCACCTTCCAAATCTAGCTCACACATCACCTGTTTGGTGAGGTCTCTTCTGATCCAATCCAAAGCTTCTACCCATCCCTGACCCCACAGAGGACCAGTGGATGTATCTGCTTCCTCATCTAGGGTCTGGATTTTTATTTTTTAAAGCCTTTTATTTTATATTAACGAATAGCTAATTAAGTGTTGTGATAGTTTCAGATGGACAGCCAAGGGACTGAGCCACACAGATACATGTATCCACTCTCCCCCAAACTCCCCTCCCATCTGGGCTGCCACATAACTTTGAGCAGAGTTCCATGTGCTGTACAGTAGGTCTTGGCTGGTTATCCATTTTAAATAACAGCAGTACGGGGATCATATCCAACTCGTACTTTCATTTCTGATATAATGGAGAATTCACTCCAAAGCCACAAACTGGACTAGCAGGCAGTCTAAGTGCTTCATGTACCTGTCACCCAGGAGGTGCTTGGAAAATATTTACTAATGAAAACAAATGTGCTTCCCAGATGCTATATGAGGGCCTGACTTGAATTGGATGCTGTGTGAGATTCCAAAGACAGGGGTGGTGCTTGACCACCTTTAGTCATGAGCTTCTTCAGCACCATGTTTTCACATGCAGATTCATACTGAAGCAGGAGATTAGCCGATTTGGGGGAAAAGAGGATCATCTAGAGATTTTTAGTTTTCGCGCCTTTTGGGGCCAGAGGACTTTTCCTGGAAATGAAATAAGATGCAGAAGCACAGAATAAGAAACGGAAATGCAGGAACTTCCCTGGTGGTCTGAATGGTTAAGAATCTGCCTTGCAATGCAGAAGATGAGGCTTTGATCCCTGATCAGGAACTGAGGTGCTGCTGAGCAAATAAGCTCCAGTGCGTTGCAACTACTGAGCCCAAGCTAATTAAAAAAAAAACAAAAACAAAAGTAAGAAGCCAAAATGCAGAGCTGCTCTGTTGAAAACCAGGGGTGAGAGGCGTGCGGCCTCCCCATCCAGGGCTCCTCTCAGCCCACGCTGCAGCCCCAGTGCACCTTGCTGGGGGCAGCCCTCACCAAGTACCTGCTATGAAGCATGCCCTGGGTTGGCACTGGGTACCCAGGCAAGAACCGGGTACCCCCCAGACCTCAGGGAGAGAGGCAGGGCTTGAAGGAGTAATGCAAGGCAGGTCCTTGCCCACTGTCCCCACAGGTCCCAGCCAGGTGGCCCCACCTCCCCACCCCATCCACGGAGCTGCCCCAGCCCCAGGGCCCCAAGGAAAGGAGGAGGCAACTGCTCCCACCAGAACCTTCCAGGATGGCTTCCGGGGGCTGCCTCTGTCAGCACCCCTCGGGAACCTCGTGTTGACAGGTGTGGGGGCTCAAAGGGCATGAGAAACTCAGGCCAGGCAGAGAGGGGCCCCTGAAGACTGCAGGCTGCTTCCGGTGCTGCCAGGAGGCCAGGGCACATGAGTAGCTCCGTCCATCTCCCTCCCCACTCCCAGAGGGCATGTTCTTCACTTGAGTCCAGCCCAGCAAGCAGGCTTAACTGAGCCAAAGGAGTGTTAGCTTCGTTTCTGAATGGGAGTGATGGGACAGTCTCCTGGGAACAGAGCCCGAATCCAGAATCCAGAGTCAAGGGTGTTGGCAAATCACTGCCCCTCTCCTCCCCAGCCCCTCTGTGATCCAGAGGAAATGGGGCGGCCCAGCTCCCCTCCTCTCTGCTCTTCCCACACACGAGCTCTTTATATTTTGATAGCTCTCTTTCTGCTCCCTATGGGACACGTATGGGGGTAACAACGGCTTCCAGAGTCCTATACAGTTTTTCCATGTCTGGACTGCGGTCTGTGGTTACAGGATTCCTCTGAGAGGAAAACTAGAAGCCGCAGTGCGCCTCTGCCCCTGTTTCTGTTCCTGGGGGAGGTGTACACTTCCTGCTGTCCGGCCCAGCAGACTGCATGGACCCCCACGATGGCCGTTCTCCAGCACTTTGGCCTGCTCGCACCCAGGCCAGGGGACTAGAGATCTCAGCTCCTCAGCAGGACTCTTGCAAGTCGAAATCTTCAGTCTGGGAAGCCCCAGGCCTGCTCCTCCTCCCCTTAGGCATGGCTCCCCTTCGGCAGGTCGTCCTAGCTATTGGCTTGGCCAGAGAATTCATTCAGGTTTTTCCATTCTTTTTGTTCAACCCAGCGCTTAGTAACCATGTGCCTCCATCTCCCCATTTGTAGCATGGAACAGTCACACTGTCCCGCCTGAGTGGAGATGGTGGGGCATGAACTTGAAGGGTTAACCCTCTCCTGAGCTCAGGGTGACTCAACACTGCTTCCTCCATCACCACATTTCCATCGGGTCCTACGCAATCCTTGTACCTTCAGGTTAAGAGATGCACACTGAGATCGTTTGTGTGCTGGGGTCTGGCATGGGTGCTGGTCCCCGATGGTGGGCAGTGTGTGCCAGCTCTGTCCTCTTCTGGGACAGCCATGGAGCAGCAGTGAGCTGAGAGCAGGCTCAGAGAGATCACCGGCACCAACTGCAGCCAGACGTGTGGGAGGGTGTTCAGGATGTCGGTCATCACATGGAAAGAGCTGGTCAGCTCGGCACACAATCCTGCTCTCCCCGGTTCCTGGCAGGGCTCTGGGCACTGCTGACTCAGGTCCCACCAGCCACCATGCAGCATCCCTGCCCAGGAACCCCTTACCCCACTTTGCCATCCAGTCCTCTCATCTGTCCTTTCTGGTTCAGTTCCATAGTTCTCATGGCATCAAAGGGAAGATACATCTCCAGAGGCCCGTGGACCAGAGTGCTGGAAAAACTCGGGGCAGACAAGGGGCTCAAACTGAAAGGTAAGGGTTCTTGCACTGACCCTGAGTCTGGATGCCTGGGCCTCCTGCTGAGGCCAGACCACTTCCCCCCAATCCTGGTGTGACCTCAGATCTTCAACACAACCAGCAATCCACAGTTGTGCAGGGCAAGAGGCTACCTGGTCACTGTCCCTGCCCTGCAGCAATGCCATTCTAGCATGTGATCAGACACCCGAAGGAAATCGCCAGTCACTTACTCGGCAACTCAGCAAGTGGCCCTTTTTATCCACGAAAGTATCAGCAGAAAGGGCTTCCCTGGTGGCTCAGTATAAAGAACCCACCTGCCAATGCAGGAGACATGAGTTCCATCCCTGGGTCAGGAAGATCCCCTGGAGGAGGAAATGGCAACCCACTCCAGTATTCTTGCCTGGAAAATTCCATGGACAGAGGAGCCTGGTGAGATACGGTCCATGGGGTCGCAGAGAGTCGGACACGACTTAGCGAATGAAAAACAACAATCCACAGAAAAGGGCCTCAGCTTGATCCTCCTGTCTCAGGTCCTGCTACCTGGATCACTGCCAGTCACTGCCTCTGCCCCAGCTTTACCTGCCAATGGCCAGCGTCTGTACAGTCCTGGCATCTGGCAAAGCTCTCATTTGAGAATATATGTGGCTTGTCCAACGTCACACAGCTCTTCTGCCATGAAGCCTGGCACAGACCCCTCGGGGAGGAAGCCAGCCAGGACAAAAATGTCAGCATTTCAGCACCATCAGCACAGACGGTGTGATGAGAGAGTCCTTGGGGGGCATTGAGAAAGGAGGCCAAGCAACCTTCCTGATAATAATGTCCGCTAGTTGGGTTGGCCAAGATGTTCATTTGGGTTTTCCATACGATGTTATAGAACATCGTATTTGTTTCTGGTTTTGTTTTTCTTAAACATAAAACATGAATGAACTTTTTGGCCAACCCAATAGTTATCATGTAAACGCCCAGCCTTGTGCCTTTCTGAACATCCTATCAAGATCTGCTATTCATTAATAACCTGCATGACAGGTACTGTGATTTCATTTAGGTAGAGCCACTTGAGAATTAGTCATTTAAGACTAGAATTTGGATCCTGATCTTCTAACTCAAAGCCAGCCATCCTTAGCAGCCAGGCCTTCCTGACTGCAAAACACATCAAAGCTAGCAGCCTGTCATATGGGAAGCTTATCCCAGGCCTCTTGTAGAAAAAATTCAGTAACAATGAAAGGACTTCCGATGAGCCAAAAGAGAACACAAGGAAAAGAGAAGCGTCTTCCCCAGCCCAGTACTGGAAGCATCTAGGGGGCCTGTGTGCCTTAAATTAGGACCCTGGGACTTCCCCAGTGGTCTAGTGGTTAAGAATCTGCCTTCCAATACCGGGGGCACAGGTTCAATCCCTGGTCAGGGAACAAAGATCCCACATGCTAGATGACTGGGCCAAAAATAAAAAATCAATTACTTAAGACCCTGTTGTCAAAAATCGATGAACATAAAGGTCACGTTGTTCGGTCAAGGGACACTTTCCCAGGGGTGATGCATGTGTACGGCCTACCAGACGAGGCCATTCCCCAGTGTCAACGTGGATACCCACATTCTTCAAACAGGGCCAAGCTCTGAGCTGTGGGACAGAGGGCCCCGTGTGGGGCTTGGGATTCTAGAGCTCTGGCCAAGCCACACCATCTGCTCAGGGCCCCTGGGCAAATTTCTTCGCTGCTCAGAACTTCCTTCTAAAGCCACAGGGTATTGGAGCTGGGGCAGAGATCTTGTAGTTAAATGTCATTACTTGACAGATGGGGACACAGGGCTTCAGAGAGGAGCAGGCACTTGCTGCTAACTGTAGGGCCAGCTTGATGGTGACTGGTTTCTTCGCGGGGTCCCCTGCATAGAGCAGAGCCAGCACTCCACACAGGTGGCTGGAGGCTCAGGTGAGACCCTGTGAGCCCCGTATAGACCAACGCCAGGCACCATTGGTAACATGGCACAAAGCTCTTCCCGGGGAGAACAGTCCATTGTGGCTGGACGAGGCGGTGCCTGGTGGGGGCCAGGGAAGGGCAGTGGGAAACCCCAGAAGGCAGTGGGTACATGGCCATTCTCTTGTGAAGTTTCTGCTTACACGACTTTACTGCTTTGCAGAGAAAATGGTATTCGTTGGCTTCAAAGGCAGCTTCCGGCCCACCTGGGTGACCCTGGACACTGAGGACCACCACGCCAAAATCTTCCAAGTGGTGCCCATCCCGGTAGTGAGGAAGAAGAAGCTGTGAGGACCGCCGCCACCCCGTGCGCCCCCACAGTGGACTCTGACACTGGAATCTGGGCGGCAGCCCGGGGCAGGGAGGCCGGTTCCCACAGCCCCGGCCTGGCAGCTGCCCGGGAAGGCCACGTGTCAGCCCTGATGGGCCAGGGGGAGGCTTCCGAGCCCCCAGGTGCTGCCGCCTGCCCCACTCAAGTGTCCACCTGCAGCCCCAGGGCCCTGTGGGCTGATGCTGCAAACCTCCTCCCTGCAGCCTCCCGGGGGCCTCCCTACCTGTGCCTCTGCGGTGGGGGCTGTGGGACCACACGGAGCCCTGGGCACTACTGGCAAAAAAGGTCCCTTTGGCAGGAGTTCTGCCCCCGCTGGGAGGCAGCCTGGGAGTGGGAGGGTAGGGTCGCTCACAGATCTCCATGCTCTCCAGCACGATGTTAGGGTGGGAGGTGCAGGAAGAATCCTCACTCCTGCAAGCGGGACCGACCTCCACTGGGTTCAGAGCTCGGGTGTAGACAGAGCTCACCGAGATGGAGCCAGCTGTCCTCGGGGAGGATGAGCCTGCCTCTGGAGGAGGTCAGCCTCTCAGGAGACTTGGCGCCCAGGATGGGAGTCGGACTAGGTGACTTTTAAAGGCCCTTTCAGTTCTGAGAGCCCAGAAATCTGTGGCTTCTCACGTTGTGCCCGGAGTCCAGTGGCAGGCAAGAACATTCTTCTCAGCCGATATCCATGATGCTGGGCGCTCCGGGCGGACAGGATGGAGGTGTGAGAAGCAAGGCCCAGGGTGAGGGGCTCGGCTCTCTGGCCCAACAGGCGGTCAGCGTTAACTGCCTTCTGATGCTAGGGGAGAGGGCTCAAATGGGGGCCGTGCCAGTTCCCAGGAGGGAAAGAAAGGGTTTATGTGCTTGGGTGGGTCTGGAAGCTTCTTGCAGGAGAGGCCCTGGGCTCGTAGGGATGAAGGACAGGGGCTCATGGGTGACAGGGATGGGGCAGCCTCTGGAGCGTTCAGAGGCTGAGCCCTTCCTGCCGAAGCTGGATGACTTCAAGGTGGCCCATTGCCCTGGACACGCTGGCCCACCCATAGCAGAGAAGCATGCATCAGAGGGAGGGCTGGTGGGCCCCTGACACCCAGAATGTGGGCCAGCCAGCCCCACCCACAACTCCAAAAGAGGCTGGAGTCAAGTCAAGAAAGGTGGGCTCCTCCATGGGGGGCCCATCTGCTCCCCCGAGAAGCGCTCACACCTCAGGGCACCTGGGCTTTCGGAGCCAGAAAGGGCCTTAGTAGACACCTAGTCCAATGCCTTGGTTGTATAGACGGGACGATGAGACCCCAAGAAGGGGAAGAACCACATGGCCAGAGCGGGGCCAGGATGGGAGCCCCCACTCCCCACATTCACTGCCACACCACGCTGCCTCAACTGCCGGCCGGAGGGGTCAGGCGCTCCTGAAGTACAAGCCCCCTTGAAGAGAGACCTTTCTGGTCTCCAGAAAGGACAGTTTCTGCCCCGGCCCCCTCACCGTGCACACAAGGGCGCCCCCCTGTGGGCTCTGGAGGCCCTGCAGCCTCCACCTGGCTCAAACTTACCTGCCCTCCCGAGGGGCTCCCCGCTGCCGCAATAACTGCCCTGGTGCTACCTGCATCTGCAGGTCTGCAGGCGCGCCCAGCAGACAGTGTCAAGCCACCCCGACACATCTTTGGGGAGCTGACTAGGTGGCTCTCTGGGGTCCGTCCACCCCAGGCCCTCTTGGAGAACTGCCCACCTTGGAGAGCCAGGAGAGCTCTGGAAAAGGAAAACTCTGTCTGTGGTTTATACTCTCTCGTGAGATCCCAGGGTCGCTCTGGGTCTCATGATGACCATGTCTGTCCCCTCTCCTGCCCCAACCACAAACTACGTCCCTTCTTGTCCCCGTCTGTTCAGCTGCACCCAGTGAGGCTCAGCCTTAAGTCCACCCCCCCTCCCAGGGTGAGCCAGTCGCCAAAGAGGTTTTTCCCACTAAACAAGTCTTTCAGCTGCTAGGGGGTGACGGTGGCACTCTGCCTTTAAGGACACGGCAGCTTCAGAGGCCTGAGTCCCTGGAGGGACCTCTTCCAGGAAGATCAGAGGCCGTGCGGAGGAGAGTTCAGATGACCTCATGTTCTTCTCGTCTACAGTCCTGTTGAGTTTTCCTAAACTCTTAATGCAAGGGTCTCACACTGTGAACCACTTAGGGTGCGATCACTTCCGATGGCCAGGAATGTTAACTGTCTTTGGTTCAGTTCATGGAAAGAAAATATCTATTTGAAAATCCTCAGAGTTGTACATTTGTCAAATAGCACAGGATCTGTGCATATAACGTTCCTTCCAAAATCATTCACCAAGAGCCCGTGTCTGGGCATGTTCTTGGTAGCACAAATTTTCTTACTGCTTAGAAAATTGTTCCTGTTGTTCTTTCTGTTTGGAAGCCTCAAGATGACTTAGGCCTTTTTAAAAAAACAAAACACTCCTCTGAAATGCTTGTCTTTTTCCTGTTGCCGAATTAGCTGGTCCTTTTTCGGGAATTAGATGTATAGTGTGTTTTGTATGTAAACGTTTCTCGTAGGCATCACTATGAACAAAGATATATTTTCTATTTATTTATTCTATTATGCACTTCGAGAAGTTGTTGTCAGAGAAATGAAGAATCGTCTTAAATGTCTTATTTGGGTATGTCCTTTGGCCGCTTGAAAGGGGTGTACCCAGGGCCTTCTGCTTGCAGCAGACATCGGCTCTGGTTTGGAAAATCTTGCTGTACTGTAGTAAACGTAAAAAAGATGTCATCCACCTGACTGCTTGTTTATTTTCCATTAAAGTGGGTCTCACCTTAAGCCAGAGAGCTGCGGAAAATAAGACAGGAAATTACCCTTTGCCACTGGCCGCTCATTTCCAAGAACCAGTCATGTGTCATACCTCATCCTGTCCACAAGGGGGCGCTTAGGACAGCAGGTGGAGACGGTCCTAGAAGAGGAAAGCGGTCATTCATGCGGCCAGCACATCCATGTTGGACTGTGTCCTCCTTACTCCCAAGCATCAGAAAGCTGTCAAGGCAGCACCCTCCCTTGGGGAAAGCCAGAGGTTAGTGGAGTCTGGACTTGAAGCAAGACTGTTTCTTCCTCATGGGTACAGTTTGGTCAGAGGCCAAACATGATGTCTGGGGAGAACGTGGAGACTGAGGTGGAGAGATGGGTCCAAAACAAGCTGCCAGACAAGGGGGGGTGGCGAAGCAGGTTAGAGGGGACCCTAGGCAGAGGTGAGAGAGGCTTGGGGGTCTGGGGAGGAGAAAGTGAGAAGCTTAGAATGGGGTGAATGGGAGGGTCCTACAACTGTGCTGTGCAGTAAGGCAGCCACTGGCCACATAAAGCCACCTACATTGAGATTAATTACAATTAAATACAATTGAAAATTCAGTTCCTCAGTCACACTGGCCCACTTGAAGCACTCCATAGTCCATATGTCTGCATGTGTACATGCTAAGTCGCTTCAGTCATGTCCAACTCTTTGCAGCCCCATGAACTATTGTCCATCAGGTTCCTCTGCCCATGGGATCCTCCAGGCAAGAACGCTGGAGTGGATTGCCATTCCCTTCTCCAGGGGGTCCTCCCGACCCAGGGATTGAACCCATGTCTCTTGATGTCTCCTGCATTGGCAGGCAAGTTCTTCACCAGTAGCGCCACCTGAGAGGCCCAGTACATATGTCTAGTGGTTACCATACTGGTCAAGGGATATATAAAACATTTCCATCAACAAAGAAGGTTCTTTTCTTAATGATTTCCAGAAAGCTTTAGGGGCTTGTACATTGGACTTTTAAAAATCTATGCTCCTAATGTGTGTGTGTGTGTGTGTGTGTGTGTGTGTGTCTGTGTGTGTGTAGTCCATTTAAAGGGGCTAGCACCAGACTGGTGCTATCAAGCTGTCAATAAGCAAATAAAGTCAACCCTTGGTATCCACAGGGGACTGGTTCTAGGATTCCCCTAGACACCAAAATCAGAGGATGCTCAAATCCCTCACAGTCTGCTCTCTATTTCTGTGGGTTATGCATCCCAGAATTCAACCAACCTGTGATCGTGTAGTGTTTTCCATCTGTGGTTGGTTGAATCAGTGAATGCAGAAACCTGCATATGTGGAGGGCCAGCTGTCTGTCTGGCAAAGCAGCCTGGGCACCCTAGGTCAGTGTGAGGGGATGGTCCATGGCCCTTGCCCTCAAGAAACTTCACCTGGGGAAGTGGGGAGATTGCATCTGTCCACTCACTTGACAACTAGTTCTGAGCATCTGCTTGGTGCCAGGCACGGCCCAAAGAGAAACATCAAAGACCTCCATGGAAGACTTCCCCGGTGGTCCAGTGGTTAAAAATCCACCTGCCAGTGCAGAGGACAAAGGTTCGATCCCCACTCCAGGAAGATTCCACATGCCTCGGGGCAACTAAGCCTGTGCACCACACCTTCTGAGGCCACACTCTAGAGCCTGTGCTCTGCAACATGAGACGCCAGCACCACAGTGAGAAACCTGAGCACTGCAACGAGAGAAAGCCCAGACAGCAACGAAGACCCAGCACAGCCAGAAATAATCAATTAATTAATTTTAAAACATAAACAAAAGGGAAGAAATAACACTAAATGGAAAAAAAAAGACCCTAGCGGAGACCCTGCAGTCCCCATGCCCAGTGAGTGGCGAGGCAGAGAGCTCTGAGGGAGCAGAGGTTCTCAGCTAGAGTGGCCAGGGGTCCATGAGCACAGGTTGGGACTGGAGGCAGCCTGGGGCTCAAGGTCAGATGAGGAATGGGGCCCTTTCATAAGAGGCACAGCCTGGGTGCTGGGAAAGTACCAGAGGTGTGGGCTTGAAGATGGCTGCGTGTAAACCAGAGCGCGACCATGAGGGAAGGTGGGCCAGCCAGACACGGGCAGCTTGTAGGGACCACGGGATCTGATGATGGGAGGGGGGTGACTCCTCTGCCAGCAGGTTGGCTGCTTCAGTAAGTGCACAGTTAGGGAAGTAGAAAAGGCACTTGGGAGGACTGAGAAACCAGGCTCAAAGGGAGCAGTAGGAGACTGCAGCCAGCTCAGTGCAGAGTGCAAGGAGCAGG